AGATGTGGTACGGTGTATCTTAAAAGTTTAAACTTTATACCTCATCATAGAAGTTTTTAAGATCTAAGCAAATTTCGCGAAATATGCGGAGGTAGGAACTTGGAAGGACCCTGGACAGTGGACACCACTTACAAGTTACTACTAGTGTCCTATAATTCTATACCGAGATCATGGATCATGATTCATGGTGCATGGGAAGCTTAAATTTACTGAGTTGATCTATGCTCTAACCAATTCATTCGGATCGTCCACACCTCATCAGAAAATGCTCTAGGTCAGATTAATGCTTAATATATCGAAAGATCGAAAGGACTAGCAATAATCCCCATCAGAATCATTCATCCATAATTATAAAAAAATTACATTGGGAGACGGTCCATGAAGAGAAATCTGGACCAAAGATGACAATGCTCAGCAGTTGAAAACCAAACTCAACGGCCGTTATTAAAATTTTATGAAGGATTCAACTCGAACAAATGATGTTTTTAGTACCCAAGAAGTCCCCAAATTTAGTCAGGAAGAGTTCTATAGCAGAGCGAAAATATACTTTTCAACACTACTTACATGAAACAATTTTCAAAAGCTTCAACTATAATGGTGTCACATAAATCAAATGAACCCCTAATAAAACTAAAAGATCAACAGATACAAAAGATAGATGGACCAATGTATTGAAAGGCCATGGGTTTATAATTTGAGAAAAAAAGAAAATGATATTTCACTACAAAATTAATTTTTTATCTATGACAAGAATTATGAAATAATGGAACAAGCCAACCTGTTATTACACTGAGAAATTGAATTTCATCATATTAGAACATAGTACCACCTATATAACAGCTTATAGAACTAGGGAATTGTTCAATGATATAATAAATTTCCGTGTCAAGCTCTCACTGTGATTTATACGTATACTGGCAACAATTACATGCTGATTTATCTCTGCCTAATGATATATACCATATGAAAATTTTAAATTTAGAAATACCTAAATATTGTGATAAGAGTCATGATATCTCAACTATAATTCTATAACTGACTAATTGCAGCACATTCCCAAACTGATTATATCAATTGAAAGATTAGCTCTAATCAGCTCAAATCTTGAAGTGTGTGATGCATTGATTGAATCAACGTTGGTGAAATGTATAAACCTCCAAAGAAATCAAATAGAGATTACGTTATTGTTAGAGCGCTATCAATGAAGCCATTCAAAAATACCTATAAAAGTTATAAGGGCTTAATATATTTATATTTATTGTGTCAAACTATGGCACTAATGATTAATTGATGTAACACAAGTGATCTTACTTCAACTGAACTAAAATAACATTTATAACTTTAATTGACTTAACTAATAATGTATACATTTAGTCTGATAAGAAATATGTATAAATATAAAACTGAAAAATTCAATGCAATCATGATTTTAAAACTGTCAGTCATATGTATGACACCATATAACTGTCCAGCTCCTATCAAACAGTTAGTAGCAAGTGATAGTACTAGCTCTTACCCAGATTGATCTAGTGAACTGGTAAGCTTTGTACATATAACAAAGACCATCGTCAGCTGAAAGGAACGAAAAGAGTCTGTCAGAGCAGTGTGATAATGATTAATGGATTGGCTCAAGGTATAATCAATCTAGTTCTCAATACAACAAGTCTTTTATAGCCACCTGAAGCTCAACAATTCAATTCTGTACTCTCTAGGAACTTTCATGATTCATGTTGTCAGCAATAGTACTCCAATAAATACATTCAATAGCTGAGAGTAATATAGGAGGTATAGAGCGTAGATATATATATAATAATTTTCCTGCATTATACTTTTCAAGAAAAACCAGATACATAGCTTCTCTAGATAGATAGACCAAGAACAACCAATTATTAAAATACGATCATGACAGGATCTCAATCGTTAAATTTTGAATATCCAGATTGTATGTTGCTGTATATAATAATATATATTGCGGTTAGCCTATATGCTCAGACTTCTGTGTGGTTAATTCTTCTCATATGACGATTTTCGTGGGGTGCATATTTTAGCTATAGTACAACAATAGTATATAATTCTAGCTGGTGTATATTAAAAGACTGATCTACAATTAGCTGACTATTGAGGAATTATTTAAAGCTTTAAAATAAGAATGCTATAATAGCTTATTATTAGCTTGAAGCAGCCATAGTAGCTGCTGGTTCATATTACAATTTCAGATCAATGGTGCATGTGTGCATGTTGTATTGAATATAAATCGCGTATGTGTACCTCTAAGACGTTGATGGAATCCTTAACTCTTTATGTCGCTAATATTTGCTTGGAAAGTGAAACTGAAATATAATATACGTCGAGTAATTCAACTTTTTAGTAAAGGAAAATAAATTCAATGAAACGTCATCGTGAATTATTTCCATGGTAGGTCAATCTAAGAAGGTCTTATAAATTGTTAGCTAGACAGCTAGACGTTGTACTATAACACTATAACACTCACAAATATCGGTACCAGGGGTGCCTTGATGTTCAATAAGGATTCAAAATATCATGTAGAATACCGGTTGCAACTTTGACACTAATTCCATAGATCAGAGTTGATTGGGATTTCAAAAATTTGACATATTGATTGTATAGACCTTAGCCTTTAGCCTTTAGGCATCTCGAAAAGCATAATGATAACATAACACTATATCAAAGCTTTTGCGATACGGAATATCACTATCAATAGCTCCTTTCTGTGTCAAAATTTACGCTATTTGAGATTGTTACGAAGCTTTCCGATAGCAAATACCTGTCTTCTATATTATTGTTGTCATCCGAGATTGTCCACCCGCACTAAAATTCAATTTTCATGTCCCATTTATCCAGATTTCACACATGAGTTTAAAGGCAAAATGGCACAAAATAAATAGAAACCAACACAAAAGCACAAACGCAAAACACGTCATCATCACCGTATCAGATCCGTAGAAAAGGTAAGCAGGAAATGTAGAATCATAGCAAGCTACACTGTGTAAGTTGAATGGCTGACAGGAGATTTTCAACTGTCTAAATTCCCCGTTTAGTATAGTCCTCTGCCTACACAAATTTAATTTACTCCCAAGTTCCAACAATCCATTTAAATTTTAGACGGCGCTAGTTGGGCGCTAGACTCTAGCTGGGTTTCACTGGGGGAAAGTACTGGCCTTACCATATTAAAGGTCGGGCTCGGAGTCAAGCACGCGGTAAGAGCAGCATAAATACGTTCTCTTGACTAGTAAAATCTGGGGTAAAATGAAGTAAGAACATTGATTTAAAACGACATAAGTATGATATGAAGTAGATTGTTACTGGTATGTATAGCTAAGAGTGACAGCTATTCAATGGGGTAAATTGTATTTACAGCTGACTGGTATTAAGTATGGTATTCAACTTCAAAACCTTTTGGGCAATGTATCTGCCACTTTTCAAAAATATTGGTAAGTCCCACATCCGCGCCATTGGACCCAAAAAGTTCCTAACTCATCCGGGAAATTTTATAACAATTTAACTTCAACAGGCTTTTTTTAGTGGAAGTTTATAGTAGAAATTGGTGTAAATAACTAAAGAATTGGTATTTCTGATTATGCATTTTATAAAAATGTGTATATAAGTAACTACAATTCCCCAGTTTTTACTTAAATTTCTGAAATCATTTCTAATATAATCATCATCATTTCTATGGTATCTATAATATAGTAATTACTAGATACACTTTTAGAAACGCTGTTACTGTTTTAATACATTATATCGACATTTATCCAATTTTAAATATTCAATTTCATATACAAATCATTCCATCATGTCACCTTCCAAAGTTTATGTTAATAGTGAAGCTTCATTAATTGAAAAACTTAATTTACATGAAGAAGTTATTCTTCGTCATAATGCTTCAATTCCAACTTTATATGAAGATGCTTTATTAGAAAAGAAAACTGCAATTTCTTCATCAGGTGCTCTTTTAGCTTATTCAGGTAAAAAAACTGGTAGATCTCCAAAAGATAAAAGAATTGTTGATGAACCAAGTTCAAATGATAAAATCTGGTGGGGTCCAGTTAATAAAAAAGTTTCTGAACAAACTTGGAAAATTTCAAGAGAAAGAGCTTCTGATTATTTAAGAACTAGAGAAAAAGTTTATGTTGTTGATGCTTATGCTGGTTGGGATCCTAGATACAGATTAAAAATCCGTGTTGTTTGTGCTAGAGCTTATCATGCTTTATTTATGAGAAATATGTTAATTAGACCAACTGAAGAAGAATTAAAAAACTTTGGTGAACCTGATTTTACTATTTGGAATGCTGGTCAATTCCCTGCAAATATTTACACTCAAGGTATGACTTCACCAACTTCAGTTGAAATCAATTTCAAAGAAATGGAAATGGTTATTTTAGGTACTGAATATGCAGGTGAAATGAAGAAAGGTATTTTCACTGTTATGTTTTATTTGATGCCAGTTAACCACAATGTTTTAACTTTACATTCTTCTGCTAACCAAGGTATTGAACAACAAGATGTTACTTTATTCTTTGGTCTTTCAGGTACTGGTAAAACCACATTATCTGCTGATCCAAACCGTTTATTAATTGGTGATGATGAACATTGTTGGTCAGATCAAGGTGTTTTCAACATTGAAGGTGGTTGTTATGCAAAATGTTTAGGTTTATCTGGTGAAAAAGAACCAGAAATCTTCAATGCAATTAAATTTGGCTCTGTTTTAGAAAATGTTGTTTATGATCAAGAAACTAGAGTTGTTGACTATGATGACCATTCAATCACTGAAAACACTAGATGTGCTTATCCAATTGATTATATTCCAAGTGCTAAGATTCCATGTTTTGCTAATACCCATCCAAGAAATATCATCTTATTAACTTGTGATGCTTCAGGTGTTTTACCTCCAGTTTCTAAATTAACAAATGCTCAAGTTATGTATCATTTCATTTCTGGTTATACTTCTAAAATGGCTGGTACTGAAGAAGGTGTTACAGAACCAGAAGCTACATTTTCAGCATGTTTTGGTCAACCATTCTTAGCTTTACATCCAATGAAATATGCTCAAATGTTATCTGATAAAATTAGTGAACATAATGCATCAGCTTATTTATTAAATACTGGTTGGACTGGTTCTTCAGTTTCTAAAGGTGGTAAACGTTGTCCATTGAAATACACCAGAGCTATCTTAGATTCTATTCACGATGGTTCATTAGCAAAAGCTGAATATGAAACATTACCAACTTTTGGATTACAAATTCCAACTTCAGTTCCAGGTGTTCCAAAAGAATTATTGAATCCTTCAAAAGCTTGGGTTGAAGGTACAAGTAAATATAATGGTGAAGTTACAAAATTAGCTGGCTTATTTGAAGAAAATTTCAAAAAATATTCTTCTGAAGCTACTAAAGAAGTTATTGCTGCTGGTCCATCAGTCTAAAGTGATTGAGATAGTATCATTATTCTTGTTTTCTATTTTGGTTTTTGCATAATTTTATATTGTTTAAAAAGCTAGATGCTTGGATATAATTTGATTTTTATATAGTAGGGTTTTTTGTATACTTCTTTCAAATATTACATTGGAGTTTTTATAATAATGAATGTAGCTTTCTACTTTACTACAGTGAAAACAAATAATAATTCATAATCATTCATTCGTTATCTTTTAGCCCATGTAGCTCTCGTTGTTTCTTGTGGTTGCTGTGATCCACTTTGATTATTTACAGCCCATGGAGCTCTAGTATGTTGTTGTTGTTGTTGTTGTTGTTGTGGTTGTTGAAATCCTTGTGGAGTTGGTGATCTTCTCGTTGATGTATATGAAGAAGTTAATCTCTCTTGTAAAGATTGAGCTTGTGATTGTTTATTTTTCCAAGGTGCAGATACCAAGGGTATTTGATCATTTTGATGTGGATAAGATAATTTATTTTGTAATTCATTGTTCGAATGTGAAGTCGATGATGATTGTTCTGTAATGGAATCTTCACCTGTTGATATTGGTAGAATTGATCCATTTTTAATAGATCTCCATGGAAAAAGAACACCACCGAAATAAAAATGTTGAACAACAGGAAATTTATTAACAACTTCAGCTGAGTACATCTTCAACATACCTTTCAAGATTTTTTCCCAGTTTTTAACATTTGAAACATCATATAGTATTGGTGAGTGTTCAAAGAATGCACCTTTTTTAACTTTATAAATGAAAGAAATTGAATTGAAATATAAATTTTTGGTGCTATATTGGAAAACAACCGATCTATTATTAATCATTTTTGGCGAAACACCTGGCATCGTTTTAGAATTGTTTAATAATTCAGAAGCACCCAAGATATAAGAAATATGGAAATGATCATCAAGACCCCAAACACCATGACTGCCAGCAGGTTCTAACGAATAAGTTGTAATTAATTTTCTTGCTAAATCATAATATTTACCAAAAATTATTAAAAAATCATAACCATCAATATTATCTATTGGTATTACTCTTGTTTTCCATAACCCAGTTATAAAAGCTAAAAAATTCAATTCATGACCGGTTCCATAGTCTAATCTTTCCTTTGAACCAAAAGCATTCAGTAGATACCAACCGATTTCTTTAATAAAACCATCAGGATTTGGTAAGTTATAAAATGGTAATATATACTTTGTAAGTAATCCATTCAATTTTGATTCGAATTTTGTATGATAATCACGACATGCCAAATTCCCATATCTTCTTGGACCTTCCAAAGGCGGTACTTGATCCACTAGTAATGAAAGGTCTTCAAATAATGACAATAAAGATTTCAAATAAGGATTGCGAGTAACTCTATCTTGTAATAAAGTTGTAGATTGTGGATCCTCAAACAATGGTATTTCAAAATCATGTGAATATTTATCAGCATCCTGCTCAGTATATAACAATTCCTTACTTAGAACCCCATCTGGAACCTCTTTATTCTCAACAAGAGCCACTATCTTGGTCAATGATTTCTGGATTTCATAAAGTGCCACTGAAGTCTGGAAAGAATGTAAACCTTGCGAGTCGTAGATTCTCTTCACTGGTTCTGCGTATTCAAAAGCCGCTGGTTGTAGTATCTCGTTAGCAGACATGGTTCTCTTTGATGTGTCCTGTACCCAATATCACCAGCCTAAAACACCTTCTTTCAATTCCCTTTTTCTGTATTGTCGATGTTGATGTTCTTCATGTTCTTCATACAAATTTAACATAAACAATCAAATTCAATCACTAAAACTCGCGAACAATCTTGACTTTTGAGAGTGCACATACCGGGCCCTGTTTTTTCTGGTTTTTATCATTTTGTCTGATTAAAGCAAAGGTAATGTCAGGTTTTAAAGAGTTGAAATAAAGAAGAATAACAACAAACAAATTCTATTTTAAGGTACAATGTCATTGGAAGCAGCATTAGCAGAGGAAAGTAAAAACATATTGAGAAGACTAGACGGGAGACCACCCACTGTTCTCAGGGGACGTAAGTCCATAGACCGTTCAATGTCTCCACATGGTCAATTAAGGTCAACTTCAAGAGGTAGAAATAGAGGAAGATCATCAGATAGACGTAGTCGTGGTGCGTCAAGAGCTAGATCACAAGGTGAAGATGTCAATTACAAGTGGTCTATATTGTTCCATGATCCCTCAGATAGATTTATCAATAGTGATGATAACTTAGATAAATCTGGTAATGAAGATGATGAAGATGATATAAGTGAAGAAGAACAAATTAGTGATGATGAACAAGAGTTTGAGTATGATATCAATGATTTAAGACTACCAAACTATAGAATATCAATCAATGATTATTATAGAGGGAAAGTTGCAAAAGTTTCTCAACCAAATAATAATAAAAATAATAATAAAACAAACACTATTGGTGCTTCCACTGCTTCAAAAGTTATTAGTAGTATTGCCAAAAATTTAAATTTTGAAAAAAATGAAGAACGTCATATTAAAAAAGAAGGTGAAAAATTGGAACAATTAAGTGAAGTTTTAGCCTTGGAAAAAGGTTTAGAAGATGCTAAAAATCTTGGTGAAAATGTCCCTAGAGAGACAATTGATGAAGTTGCCAAAAAATTAAACGAAATAGGATTCCAAGGTGATAAATTAAGTGTTAATGATTTAGTTAAGTTGGAAAATGCTAAAGATACAAAATATGAAGAATATAAGAAGACTTTAATTGATGAATCAAAAGATCTAGAAATTGATAATACAACATCACAATCACAATCCTCTGAAGTAGAACAAGAAGAAAGAATTGTGGAATCTCCATTAGACTCAAATGAAACAAATTTAAGAGTTTCAAGATCAATTACTTTGGGTAAATTCTTCACAAAAGGTTTAACAAGTTCACAAATTAGATCATATTTATTATATATGGATTTATCAACAGAATCAATAAATTCATTACAATATACTTTAGGTTCTGTTGTTAAGAGTGGAGATGTTCTTTATATAATAAATACAGTTAATGATGAAGATTCAATTGAATTTTATCAAAAACAAACTGAGAAATTAACAAGTTTAGTTAAAACTTATATGAATTTAATTGCAGATTCAAATTTTAAATTACATGTTGTTATTGAAAGTATAAGTCAAGAATATCCAAAACATTTTTTGAATAATTTAATCAAATATTTAAAACCAAGTTTATTAATTGTTTGTTATAGAATTATTATGAATGAATTAAGTAATTATATTTCAAATATTCCATTAATGATTATTAAAAGAAAAGCTAAAAGAAGAAAGTCTGCTGTATAAGAACAAGTGATTGGTTGCAGGTGTGATATAGTATTGATTTGTTTATTTTGGATTTTTATATTTATTGATGATTGTTTATTTATGGCGCGTATATAGTATTTTTATTAAATGAATGAATTATGAGTGAGTTTCAACTAGTCCTAGTACACAAAAATTATAATCAAACTAGTACAGATCGTGTATATTATAATCTATATTAGATTATTAAATTGAAAGATTAATATCATGTTTCTATACAATTATATGCAATCATATGAAAAGCCAGTAACCTGTACCATATTATACGCTCCAAATTCTCCAATTTGTCAATTAATCTCGTATAACACAGATTTAAGACCTATCAATCTTAAATCTTAAACATATCTATGATCAAGTTCAAAGTATTTTTAGGATGTACCTAATACTGCTCATTATGCTTGATCCCTTGAATCTCCGGGGATGTTTAAACTATATGGAAGAAATAGGATCTAGTTGAACGCGACGTATTAAATTTCGCACAAAGAATGGCCTCCTAGGAAAAAAGGATATAGAGATCCCAACACACTCCCTCAGTATCGCTTGATATTGAATTTCTCATGAATCTCATTAGTATAATATAGTTATATAGTAGAATTGTACTTATAAAATCTTGCGGATCAGTATCCTATATCTATTTCTCAAATCATTCGACACGCACTTCTATATATAATAAGGATGTGATTATATACGGTGATTTGGTATAGTTATGAGCTAAACTGTACATATAACATATATGATCAAAAGTTTGTGTGGACATTAAAAGTTAGGTATATTTTAATTATTAATGAGCTTGAGCTTAGGCTAACTGAGCTCTCAAACAGCCAATACCGGCTACGGTATGTTTTAGGTTATTTAGGTTATAGTGTTATAGTATACTTTTACCGATCGATAGACCGACTGGCTTCAATTAGATTTCAGAGTTCGCATATGTTTTAGGCTATTGTTAAAAATATATAGAAAACTGGGGTACGCGGTAGCCTATCAGCGGTGGATTAAATACTTCAATTTTACCAAATACGCTAGATGTTATGTACTTTAATTTGTGGATGGTTTATATGAATTATTGATGGACCAACGAGCTGTACTTGTCACGTATACTATGAGTTAGTGACTCACGTTATATATATGATGTTACAACATGTGTTCAATGGCCAATAATAATCATTCAATTTCTTCTCGAGGATGTTTGAAATTCATCGCTTCTAAGCTTGCATGTTATATACTAATACCGCTGACGGTGAAAGGTTAAGAATACCCTTTAAGGGAAGCTCGATAATATACAGTATATCCAAATCTCACCAATGCCCACAAGGTGTTCAACTTGTCAAGTCATGAAGAACGTTGATCATCGATTTACTCATGTTTCTTGTTGGTCAATATAACTTATAGTTGTAGGTTGTAGGAGTCACTAGTAATTACTACTACCAGTAACCAAACGTACCAACTACCAGACTTCAGATAATAGGATTTTCCGTGCATTACAAACTGTATCCTTTGATGCATACATTCTAGAAGCAAATGATCGAGTATCAGTTTTTAATTTTAACGTATGAACGCTACTGAAGAATTGTGTTAACAAAGCCCCAATCCCATATATGGTATCTGCAAAATTGTGGACTGGAATGAAACAATTGCTATTACTAGCTGCTCGAACTATCATTTGAGCCGGGAGCTGAAGTACCACTCTAGTACAAGACCAAGTTTAGTAGAATAGAAGTGTTTGATCTTTTCAATCATATGGTATTCAGATTCTAGTATCTACTTTGTCCGAATCGAATCCATTTATAGAAACTTTCAACGTACTTGTATTTCTTTTATATGTGTAAATCTGGAGAATTTTGAAAAATTGTGGAGGAAAAGCGGTCTGTTTATGCAAGTAAGCTAGCGGCTGCCAGCTGGCAGTGGCTGCTCAGTGCTTGATTAGACCCGAGTCATCAATATCTTCCGTTTAGTGCTGCCTAGAAAGAGAAGCCAGGCAGACGGATGAGCCCACGGTGCTCTCCCCGGGCGATTCCCAGTCGATTTCTAGACAGGGTTCCCTTTTGCAGCTGGTGAGCTCACCACAAGTTTCACCAACAAAGCTGAGCCTGGGTGCACTTTGCATAGTACATAAAACCATCATGAGAGTTCAAACTTCACCCACAAGAAATTTTTCTCACAGGCAGTGAAACTAGAAGTTGAACCCTGAACAAGTTCCACGAGTTTTGAAAATTGATAGTAACTTGTAAGTAAAGAATATTATAGGAGGCTGGAGTCCTGGAACTATGAGCCTATAAGATTAATTAGAATTAGTTTTCGATATCAGCTTTCGATATATCCAATGCCTTTCAAGTTTCGTCGTATTTACGCTTGATCAAGCTTCTGATTCTAGATCACGTATGTTACATGAAGCTACAACTTCGACGCGTATTAATGGACAACAAATGTTTAAACATGAGCTTCAATATTGTTCAATTGATGACTAGATACTTATCTCAAGATGAGCTACTAGTCACTTCTCACTATTCTCATCAAGATTGTAGGATTGTAGGCCACGGTGCGCCCGGAAAAATGAGGATCACCGTTCAAGTTTTGCTTTCCCATGAGAAGTTGATTTCGAGAGATCGAGAGCAATTGTACAAGGACAATAAGAGTTGGAGGACAATACTTCAAGAGACAAAGTTGTTGAGTTTCAAAGGTAAATACACAGTTCAACCTCGAATTAAATAGAATCCCTTTCCAACTGTGTAATAAACTTCCCATTAACCTTAAATCTCTGCCTATTCCCAGTCAATTCCCTGCCTATTCCATCGTCGATTGTTGATGCTGGACTTGTAAAATTCGGGAAATTGAAATCAGATTTACGTGTACATGGCCATTTCGCATATTTTGAAAATAATTTTCTTTGCAGTAAAGTATAAATAAAATCGATTTCTCCTGAAGTTTAACAAACTTGTTCAAACATTTCAATCCTTTTTTGAAGACTGTTGAAAACATCTGCTAACAAATCAAAGTCTTAAACAATGTCTTTTGCATTTAAGGCATTGGCTTCTAAACGCGCCTTGTTGACTGGTTCAGCAATCGCCACAACAGCGCTATCTTATAACTATTTTACACAAACTCCAACATCAATTGTTTCAAATGACGCTGATTTACCTCCTTTAATTCAATCAAGACCAACTCCTCCATCAAGAGAAGAATTATTGAAGAAATTGGAAACTACTCCAAATTTTGATGTCTTAATTATTGGTGGTGGTGCTACTGGTACAGGTTCAGCCGTTGATGCTGCTACAAGAGGTTTAAATGTTGCTTTAGTTGAAAGAAATGATTTTGCAAGTGGTACTTCTTCAAAATCAACAAAAATGGCTCACGGTGGTGTTAGATATTTGGAAAAAGCTGTTTGGCAATTTTCTAAAGCTCAATTGGATTTGGTTATTGAAGCTTTAAATGAACGTAATAATATGATTAAAACTGCTCCACATTTAGTTACTGTTTTACCAATTTTGATTCCTGTTTATACTTATTGGCAAATTCCTTATTTCTACGTTGGTACAAAGATGTATGATATCTTTGCTGGTAGACAAAATTTAAGATCTTCATATTTGATGGGTCAAGAAAAAACTTTAGCTTTTGCTCCAAACTTAGATCCAACTCATTTAAAAGCTGGTTTAGTTTATCATGATGGTTCTTTCAATGATTCAAGATTAAATGCTTCTTTAGCTGTTACTGCTATTGAAAATGGTGCTACTGCTTTAAATTATGTTGAAGTTACTCAATTATTGAAAAAAGATGGTAAAACCATTGGTGCTTTAGCTAAAGATCGTGAAACTGGTAAAGAATATACTATTAAAGCTAAGACTGTTGTTAATGCTACTGGTCCTTTCTCTGATATTATTTTAGATATGGATAAAGATCCTCAAGGTATTGCTCCAAAGGAAATTCAAAAACCAAAAATGGTTGTTCCTTCATCCGGTGTTCACATTGTCTTACCTGAATATTATGCTCCAAAACAATTGGGTATTTTAGATGCTTCAACTTCTGATGGTCGTGTTATGTTCTTTTTACCATGGCAAGGTAAAGTTTTAGCTGGTACCACTGATGTTCCATTAGATAAAGTTCCAGAAAACCCTGTTCCAACTGAAGCTGATATTCAAGATATTTTACAAGAATTACAACATTACATTAGATTCCCAGTTAAAAGAGAAGATGTTCTTAGTGCATGGTCAGGTATTAGACCTTTAGTTAGAGATCCAAGAAAGGCAAATACTGGTGGTACTCAAAATTTAGTTAGAAATCATTTATTATTTACTTCAGAATCTGGTTTGATTACAATTTCAGGTGGTAAATGGACAACATATAGAGAAATGGCTGAAGAAACTATTAATGAAGTTGTTAAAAATGGTCAATTCCCAGTTAAAGGTTCAGTTACTAAGAATTTAATCTTGGCTGGTGGTGAAAACTATGAAAAAACTTTAGCACCAAGATTAGCACAAAAATATCAAATTACTGGTGGTTTAGCTGAACATTTAGCTGCTAATTATGGTACAAGAGCTCCATTAATTTTAGAACTTTATAAACAAGATGTTGAAAATCAAGTTCCAGTTGCTCTTGCAGCATCAAAAGAATTAAGATCATTTGAAGCATTTGAACATCCATTTTCAGTTGCAGAATTGAAATATGGTATTAAATATGAATATGTTCGTACTCCAGCTGATTTCTTAGCAAGAAGAACAAGATTAGCATTTTTAGATTCTAAAGCTGCACAAAGATCAATCGACGGTGTTGTTAAAGTTTTAGGTGATGAATTAAACTGGGATGAAGCTAAAAGAGCAGAAGAAACTCAAAAAACTGTTGAATTTGTCAAGACTTTCAATTAAGAAATGCTACTTTTTTTGTTAATGAAGTTTGATAGATGAGGTTTTAGTTTTATGAGTTTTAAAAATTATGAATGACACAAGACACACAATAAATAATATAAATTAATAATTCTTTTGTTTCTTTTCATAATGATATTTATATATTATATATTCAAATTAGTTTTATGAAAAAAAAAGTTTAATATTCAAAGAAAGGAAAGAAAGTATATATAAAGAAACAAAGGGGTGTACTACAATATGAAAAGATGAAGAAAAATGAAGCAAAAAAAAAGTATATGATATCATGACGTTTGATGTTTAGAATTATAACCAAAATATAAATTTAATGTAATCTTATAGATATGTAGTTTTAACTTGTTGATCTTGACTTGTATTATATCAATTTGTTAATCTCATAAAATTTATAATCATTTGATTCTTTCTTCAAATTTTCATAATTATTAATCAAATAATTTATATAAAATAATAAAGTTTGATCATTTTTTTTAGTTTTATTATTAAAATTTTTCAATACTAATTTATTATAATTTAATTCTTCACTTATAGAATTTAATGATACAGATTGATTTTTAGCAAATGGTATTATAAATTTATATGAATCTGATTCAATATTAATTCTAAATGATTTTTGTTTTGAATTTGAATTAATTAATGATATATTCTGTGTTTGAGTTAATTTATATATTAGGTTTTTGATTTCATTTGATCTTGATTCTTCTAATGGTAATTTTTGTTGTTTTATAGATGTTGTTATTGAAGTTGATTGTTGTATTTTAGGTTTATTTGATTTTGATGGTTTTGATGATTTGGTAGTTGGTTTATTTGGTTTATTTTCATTTGTTTCTTCTTGTTTTTTTTTCTGGTTTCTGTTTCTATTATAATATCTTCTTCTTGAGTTTTGTTTAGGTTGTTCACTCATTTTTGTATTCTAGTTATCCTATCTGCTATAATTCACTAATATTGATAGCTTTGATATTGTACTTTGTGTTTTTTCATGAGTATTAAAGATTTAATTAATTGGATTATGTAATTATTATGTAATGAGAATTCTACCGAGGTACAAACTATCTCTGCCTAGCTTCTGTGAGGTTCTGCCTAATGTCCGTTTAAGCGCCTGTCTACTGATAAGTGGTGCTGAGGTGCTCTGTCTAACGCCATCACACCCCAGCCTAAACCTCTTTCTAGTCCCTCTGCCCATCTCGGCAGCTTACAAGCTTACGATCTCCACCTTTTAAAATTGCGATTCTTTCCAAAATGAAAATAAACTGACACTAAAAATTAAAATTCAAAAACTGATCTATTGTTAAAATTTACTTGTATATAAAAGAATTGAATTCCCCAGAATCAATTCAATCTTCTTTAATCAATATTCAATCAAATCATATCAAATATAATCAACCATGGAAAGACTTAATCAATTGAAAAACCATATCGTATCTCCTAAAGCACAAGTTACTACTCAAAAAGATGATGATGTTGTCATTGTTGCAGCTTATAGAACGGCTATAGGTAAAGGTTTTAAAGGTTCTTTTAAAGATACTCAATCTGATGAATTATTACAAAAATTCCTTGTACAATTCTTTAACAAGGTTAATATTGATCCTTCTTTAATTGAAGATGTTGCTTGTGGTAATGTTTTAAATATCGGTGCTGGTGCTACTGAACATCGTGCTGCTTGTTTAGCCGCTGGGATTCCTGATACCGCTGGGTTTTTAGCAATCAATAGACAGTGTTCTTCATCATTAACCGCTGTTAATGATATTGCTAATAAGATTAAAGTTGGTCAAATTAAAGTAGGGTTAGCTTTAGGTTCAGAATCAATGTCTAGAAATTATGGACCAAAATTATTAGGTACAATTTCAAAATCAATTTTATTAAATGAAGAAGGTAAAAAATGTGGTATTCCAATGGGTATTACAAATGAAAATATCTCATCAAATTTCCAAATTACAAGAGAAACTCAAGATGAATTTGCTGCAAATTCTTACATTAAGGCTGAAAAGGCTTCAAGTTCTGGATTATTTCAAAATGAAATTTTACCAATTGAAGTTGAAATTAAATTACCACAATCTGAAGAAGATGAAGAAGATGAAAAACCTCCACAAACTAAAAAAGTCACTGTATCAAAAGATGAAGGTCCAAGATCCGGTGTTACACCTCAATCTTTAAGTAAAATTAAACCTGCTTTCAAGAAGAATGGTACAACACATGCTGGTAATGCCTCACAAGTTTCTGATGGTGCTGCAGGTGTATTATTAATGAGACGTGATGTTGCTAAAGACTTGGGATTACCAATCTTAGGTAAATATATAAATTTCAAATGTGTTGGTGTTCCACCAGAAATTATGGGTGTTGGTCCAGCTTATGCTATACCTGCTGTTCTTTCAGCTGCAGGATTATCTGTTGATGATATTGATATTTTTGAAATTAATGAAGCATTTGCAGGTCAAGCTTTATATTCTATTCATAAAGTTGGTATTGATATTAATAAAGTTAATCCAAGAGGTGGTGCTATTGCATTAGGACATCCTTTAGCCACTACAGGGGCAAGACAAGTTGCTACTTTATTTAGAGAATTAGAAAAAGGTCAAATTGGGGTTACAAGTATGTGTATTGGTACAGGTATGGGTGCAGCTGCAATTTTCGTTAAAGAATAGCTTGGAAAAAGCTTATGATGTAATCGGTATGAATTAACTTATGTATATAATGGCTCTTTTTACCCAAAATATTCAATTCTTGATGAACTCTATGAATCTATTTAGTTTTATTTATATATGATTGTTGTTATGAAATTATAATTGTAGTTATATCCTTTAAGTATGCTTTTCATTCATGTTGATGTTGTATTGTAATTTGTATGTATACCATGCGCGACTATACAAAAAAATGAAAATCTCAAAAAACAAAACATGAACCATATACTAAGCACATCGAAACAAGAACACAACAAATCATAATGACACTAGTGGAGGAAATTAATCCAAGAATAGATAGAGACTCATATTTCACATCATCAATAAATCTACCTTCAAAATCAAAACATAGGCCAACTTCAGAAGATTTTAGACCAAGAAAAAGATTAGCACCAGGAACTTATAATTTAGCTACAATTGAATCAAATTTACATGGAACTGGATTAACAGAAGATCTTGTTGAAACAAAAAATTCATTAAAAAGGTTTGAAGAATTAGATAAAGAAAATTATAATGATACTGCAAAAATTGAATTACCTAAAAATGGTATGAATTTTGAATATACAAAATTTGAAGCAAATCAATTAAATTCTGAACATTTAAAATTTGGTCCAAAAGGTGGTAAATTAAAACAAGGTTCCACAACACAAATCAAGAAAATTTTAGCATCAAGGAAAACTTTAACAAATTATTTAGATGAAGATGATAAAACAACATCAATTTTATTTAACTTAGTATCCAAAAAGAAAAATTTACAATTCTTAGTACCAAATAAAAAATTATGTTCAATTTGTGGTGATAATAGTCCAGGTTCTTGTGTTAGATGTAATTCAAGGGTTTGTAGTGTTAAATGTTCTACTGTTCATAATGAAACTAGATGTTCAAATTATTTTGGATAAAAAGATATTAATGGTGTATATCAAGAATTTTAATGAGTTATGATATTGCTTTTAATGTAATCTTTTAACATATACAATATTTATTGCCCATCTTCCAAGAATTTCATCAACAACGTACATTTCACAGCGGTTGGTTCCAATTTTGAAATAAAGTTAATTTTTCTTGATTTGATGAGAAGTTGATCTTCTCTATATTTCCTTCGGGTGCCGCGAAATTGAGTAAGTACCGGAAACGTTTGACCATAATATAACCTCTGACAATTCAATAGGTTTTATCAGATCTTGAAATTATTCAACAAGTTCAATTAATTCAATCATGTTTCGTCCTAGAATATCGAGTCCATCGTACAGAATAATATCGTTCCGTCGGTTTCAATCTCAGTTCAACGTTGCCATAATAGGTTCAGGTCCTGCTGGGTTTTATACTGCACACCATCTAATTAATAAAGATAAAAATGTTAAAGTTGATATTTTTGAAAAATTACCTACTCCATTTGGATTATCAAGGTATGGTGTTGCTCCAGATCATCCTGAAGTTAAGAATTGTGAAGATACTTTCAATGAAGTTGCCAATAAAACTGATCAATTTAAATTCTTCGGTAATGTTACAGTGGGTAAAGATATTTCATTAGAAGAATTGAATAAAAGATATAATGCTATAGTGTTCTCTTATGGCTGTACGCAAGATAATCATTTAGGAATTCAAGGTGAAAATTTACCTGGTGTTATTAGTGCAAGAAAGTTTGTTGGTTGGTATAATGGATTACCTGAATGTAAAGATTTAAATCCTCCATTAGATCAAGTTGAAAATGTTGTGATTATAGGGAATGGTAATGTTGCAATAGATGTTGCAAGAATATTACTTACACCACCTGAAAATTTGAAAAAAACAGATATAGCTTCAAATGCTATTAATTTCTTACAAAAATCTAATTTAAAAAATGTTAAAATTGTTGCAAGAAGAGGTTTTTTGGAAAGTGCATTTACAAATAAAGAAATTAGAGAATTATTAGAATTAGAACAATTTGGTATCAAATTTGAAGGTATTGATTCTAAAATATTTGATCCAATTGTTCCATTCAAGAAAAAATTCGATAGAGTTGTATCAAGAAGAATTGATTTAATTTTAAATGCAATGACTCCACCAAATCAACGTAAAAGATTAAAATATTCAATACCTGAATTATCCACAAAGACATGGTCTTTAGAATATTTGAAAACTCCAATGGAAATATATCCAAATTCTACAAATTCAAATTTGGTTTCTTCAATAAAATTTCAAGAAAATAAATTATATCATGATGAACCTGATTCACCAGCTAAAGTTAAACCAATTCCAAATGAAACAAATTTATTAAAATCTGAATTAATAATTACAAGTATTGGTTATAAAGGTATTCCTATACCAGGTATGGAGAAATTAAGTATTGTATTCAATGACAAAAAAGGTACAGTATTAAATGAAAATGGTCGGTTAATTGATAATTCTGGAATTCCCTTACCAGGTTTATATTCATCAGGATGGATTAGAAAAGGTTCAGCTGGGGTGATTGCATCAACAATGATGGATTCTTTCACCACAGCGGATTTGATTCTAAAAGATTATCAAGATGGATTATTAAATAAAGATTCTAATACTGAAGATTTATCATTAAAAAATTCTGTTAATTGGGATGATTGGGAAAGGTTAAATAAATTTGAAAAGAGATTAGGTGAATCTTTAGGGAAACATAGATTTAAAATTCAAAATGTTGGAAAAATGTTGGAAATTATTAGAGATGATTCCAAAAATGAAGATGAACAATTTGAAAAATTTAAATCTCAATTCATCAATTAGACATTAGATCTGGTTATAAATAAATATTCTACATTGTATATAATATTATTTTCTAATTTCATAAACATAATGATTATTTTTTTCTTTGAATTGTAATTTATAAACCTTTTAATATATTATCTTTAGAAAAAAAGTTTATAAGTTTAAGTTTTGTAATGTGTCATAATAAAATTGAATATCAAATTCTTTGCATGTAAAATTTTGCATTTCTAAAATAATTTGCTTTATAATAAGATTGTTGAATTGTAATTGTACAAAAAATGCATTTTTTAAATCTAATGATGTTCAGCACCACCTTTATGATGACGTAAATGGAAATAATATTCACATGAGTAACCAAAAATTAAAACAAAAGCTGCAAGATGTAAGATTGGTTTACCTGAAGCATTGTCACCATTGAAGAATTTTTCTTTATAACGAGCAATTGGACCAAATGGTTTATTTGGAGCAGCTTCACCTTGTGGTAAAGCTTTGTAAAAGTTGACAACGTTAACTAAACGTTTAGCATTTGGGTTAGCACCTAAGTTCTAAAGTAATTTATGTTAGTATATATTGCACTTCCCATCTCAAACAAGAAGAATTGTTGATGCTTGAATTGGAAAAGAGGTGGTCAAAGATCTAAACTTATTTTAATATCTCTTTAATCCATCATTACTATATTAAATAATAATTTTTCTTCCGATAATATTAACAGAGAGATTCCCAATTAATGTAGTAATCATCTGGACCAAAAAATTGATCATTCCAAAGTCATAATAGATCTCAAGTGATCTCAAAAGTTCTTCAAATTTGATATCTGATATAAAGGCAAATTAAACTCAAAACGAACCAACAGAAAAAAAAACCCCAAATTTAAATTCCCAAATCAACAACGACAACTTGGATCCAATCCAACTTACTTTAGCAGAGGCGATCTTTGGTGGGATCAAAGTAGACAATTGACGTTTAGCAATGAAAGACATCTTTGATAATTGCGTTAAAAGTTTGATGAATTTACTTTTAATTAACTTGTCAACAACAGGTTTTTTTCTTTCAACTTTTTGGTCAAAGGGGGTTTTCAAAAATTCCATTGGAAGCGCATAAATCGCAGAACATGTTTAGACGGGTTATGCTGGGATCTAGACTTCCTAATCGGGAAGTAAAAGTGTACATAGGCTACCTACAAGTAAAAAATTATAGGTTCTAATTGAAATAAAAATACATAAGATTCTTTAATTACATTGTATTGGAAAAAAGGTATGGAATTAAGCTTGTGATATGTAGAGCACTATTATAAAAGGTTAGTACAATTGAACTTAAATTAAAACTAATTTTAATAAAAAACTTACCATTATTACCACGGATAAATACATCACCATATTTTCTTGTTACTTTATCACTAACAACTTCTTGTGTTTCCTCTAGTGTGATGTTCATATAACCATCAATTGAATCTAAAGTACCTAAAATTTATTAAAAGTTAGTATCTTATTAGATGTGGATAATTTAGATTAGTTCTCACATACCATGATATTCTTCACCTGAATATAGTTTAACAATAACTTTGGCACCTGAAATATTTGAGATAAATTGAGATGGGGCTGATATAGCTGGAGCAGCAGCAACTTCTTCTGACATTATTATGATTATTCTTTAATTAGTTGATTTGATGTATTTATTGACTAAGTTTAGTATAATTAAGTCAATTTGATGGTACTTTGAGCTATATGAGTTGACAGTTTAATATATAAGATATTATTGATGTGAATCAGCAGGCAAAATAAATGATTATAAGTCTTCCAGTTTGTAAATATGTTCCTTCTTAAACTCTTCAAACTTCTTCATTAATGCAGAATATACATTCTATTAATGTTGGTGATTTTTCTCAGGTAGTTGAATTCCGGAATTGTCAGTCACGCGCAGAGTCACATGGAAAGTCGGAATTTAGGACTCTATATGTTTTATATGTCACCTAAATGTCAGAAATTTTATTCAAGAATCAACAGAGTACCTAATATAAAGCAGTGATTATTCTTTGGGCTCTCACAAGATATGTTCAAGCGCTCAAGCTAATACAATCACCATCGGTTGCACGCTTCACACTAGTACTTGACTATAAAGTAATATAAGAGACTATGATCCATTTCACTAACCAACTTGCATTAATGAGGATCATACTCTAGGATCAATTATTATTATAAGCTTAATCTATAAACTGTTGTAAACCCCTGTCTAATGTATATACCTGGAATGTATAATTGTAGATTAATCATCTTATATGCCACTGAAAGCTTACTAGAAGATGTACTCGATTATCTACTGTTAAGCCGATATGTACATCAAATTACTTCGATGATCTTGAATTATGAATCAAATTAGCGAAGAGTCAAGACCCTAAATCGAAAGTAGATTTACGTTATGCGGAAGCATGATATTAAAGCAGAGTACGAAGTAATTTACAAAATACCACGCGCTACGTTTTACTCCTCAGCTAATTTGCTAAATGAGTTCCCAGATTAATTTATCTCAAACCATGAACGAGCTGCAGGGAATTAAACGCGCTAAATATACTGCTCAATATATTCACAAAATCACATCTGCTTCAAAGTTCACATCGTGGCCTGATTCTGAAATGCATGAGATGATTGGAGTGCCAACAGTCAAATCGTTCAGATTTGAAGAATCCTAGAAGTAAATCCAAGCTGTATAGCTCCGAAATCACACGCATTAAAGAATATGTGTGTATTACTATAAGTTCAACTTCCTCTTATTCGTGTATAGTTTTCGACTTTTGAAGATTCCAAACCCTTAAGTTGACTAATGATTTTTATCATATGAACCAAGGCGTATACCAGTATGGCGGGTTTATATACCATCAACTGTCAGATATTTAAGTAGAGTAACATCTCAAATTAGCTGATCTCGAATCTAAAGACGTTGGAAAAATAGACAATTTCTGTCAAATTTCAATGTGTTTCACACACCATTAAATACATTTACCCGTTAAGGTAAACTAAATGAAGCAGACACGGAATGAAGAATTGACAGGTCATAATCAGAGTATTTGACAAAGGAAAAGTCTATGTACCATATAGAGAATTACAGTGTTCCCAATGAATAACAACCTATAATTACACGATGATTCTCCAAGTAAATTAGGTGGTGAACACTGAATTATATTTCCTATCATCTACGCGCGCCCGGCTAGCCAAATTTCATCATTTCCTTCTGGAACGAGAAACGAGTACTCTTAGCAGGCGGTCTACGCAGGTAATTAAGGCTCGTCGAAACGAGCAGTCACGTACACATCTGGATCTGTCACAGAGGTACAAGTGCTAATTAACAAGAGGCGAGCCAACCGTTCAAACTATCACTTAGTAGGTATTGAAGAAAGCAATATAAATTAAACAAGTCTTCATTGTATTACCCTTTTGGGCGTATTTCTTGATCTCAAATTTGGCGATTTCAGACAGTTTCAATGAAAATTGTCGCGTTTAACTTTAATATTTTAATTTAATTTTTTGTTTTTCTTACCAAGGAGAAAAAATTAGGTGAGCTGTGTTTTCAAAGGGAATTCAAATTCAAATTAAATATACCCAATCCTTCCACAATTTATAAGCTACCTCCACCATTCAGACATAGCGCCTCGTTGCAATTAGCTTACCATCCTTCTAATCAAAAAGACACATCCACATAGAACCTGGAGGAATTATCAACTTCCCCTAAAAACAGCGCGCTATTTTTAGTTCAAAACTCCAGTTCATTCATATCATTATTAAAGCTACAACATTAGCTATACTTTTCATTTCTCAACTTAAGAACCACAATCCTTCCACGTATCAAAAGATAAGGGTCCATCGCTGCTTATTCCAATTGCAAATTATCTAGCTATCTTTTCTTCCCTTGCTTAGGTTTCAATCTTTACTATTGTTTTCAGCTTTTTACAACATACCAGAACTTTCATTTCATTAAACTTCAACATTTATACTCAAAGCCAAAAAAGAAAGGTGTTTTTTGCTTAATAAATCATCAATATAATATTAATAAATAATGACACAAGTTGCTATAGGAGATCCAATATCATCTGCGAATAATACATTCTTAGATGATGAAGATGAATCACATAAATGCAGAAGATGTAATTTATCAATATCAGAAGGTCATGCTTATGAATTAGGTGGTGATAGATGGCATATGTACTGTTTTAGTTGCTCTAAATGCTCAAAACTCTTAGGTACAAGCTCAAATTTCTTAGTTTTGGGAACAGGTGATTTGATTTGTTCAGATTGTTCATATGCATGTAATGCTTGTGGGAAAAAAATTGATGATTTAGCTATCCTAACAGGTGATCAAGCATATTGTTCATCATGTTTCTGCTGTCGTAACTGTAAGAAAAGAATTGAAGATTTAAGATATGCAAGAACTTCAAAAGGTTTGTTTTGTATGAATTGTCATGAAAAATTATTGGAGAAGAAAAAAAGACATGAACATGATAAAAAGTTTAAAGATCGGTCAAGCTCTTTAGGTTTATCATCAAGTAATAGATCAAGCATAAGATCAAGTAAATATGCCAATATGGAAAAATCATTACCAAAAGTTCCACCAACAAATTCAAATCCTCCTCAATCAAATACAAATACAACAAATACTCCAAGTTCAAGTCATAATGTTTCCATAGCATCAGATGAAGCTTATTCAGAAATTTCAACACCAGATGTCTTAGATGTACCTTCTTCAATTGCAAGAACTTCTGCTGTACCACCAAGATCACCAAAGAGAAAACAAGTTCCATTGTCACAAGAAGCACAACCTCAACAAGAACCATTCACATTTCAAGATCAAAATCAAACCCCTGTTTCTACACTTGATCCTCCAATAACAGTTAAATCAACAAGTTCACCTATAAGAATGAGATCACCTTCAATACCTGATCAATCATATTTCGAGGGACATGATTCAGTTTCCAAATCAATATCTGAAACAACACCATCCCAACAAATAGATTCTCCACCAACCTCATTGCATAATACTCCTGATTTGAATAATGCATTCAATAATCATACAACTCCAAAAAAATCGCAATTTTTAACTGAAGGTACACCGCTAAAACAAGCTATAATATCACCAAATGGTAAAAATAGACAAGCTGTTGTTCTGGAAAGTTTAAGTTCGAGCTCTTCAAATAATATATTATCAAGTTATATTAATGAATCACCACCGCCAAAAATACCACCACCTGAACTACCTGAAGTAGGTGGTGATGATTTTATAGATATGAATGATAGTAGTGATGATGATCAAATTTCTAAATATAATCAAACTACTCAAGGATTTCAAGAATCAAGACAATCAGATCGTGTTCCATCTGGTTTAAATATTCAAAATGTTCCACAATTGAACTCAACTAATGATGGTTATGATGATGATGATATTAGATCGTCTGAAGACTTTCAATCATTCCAAAGTACTATTCAACATTCATTTGATGATCCAGAAGCAAGAAAAGATCAATCACAACCACAACAATATCAAGCACCAAATACACCACGCTCATGGAAGTTTGGCCTTGGCTCAAGTCGTAATGACAATAGTAATAATGTTGTTGGAGGAAGTACATTATTATCACCAACTTCACCATCACCAATGAATCATTCTAAAAAGTCTGCATTAACAAATATTACAAATGAGTCAGGATCAAGTGTTGGTAGAACTAAATCAATTAAATCACCAAAGGCATTTTTAAGTTTTAGAAAACATAAAAAATCTGCAAGTGGTTCATCATTAGAACCAACTTTTGAAAATCCAAATAATCAAAAGGGTAAATATCATTCACCATTAATAGAACCAAGTTCAAGATTTGATTCAAATCTTCAAACCCCAAAATTTGGTTCACATTCAAGAGGTAAATCTGATTCTTCTCCATATCAAGGTGCTGCTTTATTTACAACTCCACCAGTACCTGAAAATCGTCATCATCATACCCATTCACATAGCAATAGTCAAATTAATTTCAACAATAGTATATCTCGTTCAAATACTGCACATTATAGAAGTGCTTCAGATGCTAATGCTTATAGTAAAAATCATCATGATTCAAATGAGTTGACTGGATTTGAATTAGAATTAAGATCATTGAAAACTGAAATATTTGATTTGAAACAAGCAAAATCTGGATTAAGACTTGAAGTTAACGATTTAACTAATCAAAGAGATCAATTAAATGTTGAAGTGTTACAATTGAATTCTAAAATGGAGAAATTAAAAGTTGAATTTGATGAACATCAAAAACAATATGAAGAGCAACAAAGACAATTCCAAGAATTATATCAGCAACAAGAGCAATTCAATCAACAGCATCAACAACAGCAACCATTACAATCTCAACCTATACAAAAATCAGTTTCACAAAATGATGCACAATTAAATTCTGAAAAATCTAATGGTGATGCACCAATAGTTACAGTTCTTTCACCTCCACAGGAACAAATTAATGAAGTTCAACAACCTAAAACAAAAGGTAGATTTTGGAGAAGAAATAATGTTACAAAGGGGATTGGTAATGTTTTCAATAAATCAGATACAATGTCATCATCTCAATCATCTTATTCATTAAGTCATTTATTAGCCGCTGAGAATAAAAGTGGTAATTCAGTAGGTCATAATAACAACAACAATAATAATAATAATAGCGGAAACAATAGAGGTGGTAATCCAACTATATCAGCACCATTGTTAAGAAACGAGGAATTAGATGAATTAGGTGGTAATGACAATAAAAAATTAATCAATGGATCTAAGAGCAATAACTATATTGAAATTGGTACATCATCATCAAATTCTACAAAGAGTAATATCTCAAATTCAGGATTAATAATGAGTGATTTGTTTAACTCAACACTAGAAATGAGAACTCTATTTGAAAAAAGATCGATACCATTACTTATTACAAGATTAATTTCAGAAGTTGAATCAAGAGGATTAGATTCTGAAGGGATTTATAGGAAAAATGGTGGTACATTACAAATGAATAATATTTTAAAAGCATTTAATAATTTATTAACAGCTGAAACATCACAAGAGCTTGAAAATTCATTAGAAGGTGATATTAATGCTGTTACAAGTTCTTTGAAAAAATATTTATACCATCATTTACCAGAACCAATTATAAGTATGAACTCATATGATTCATTCATTCAAGTTGCATCAATTGAAAAACCAATTGAGAAAATTGAACAATTATCAAAAATTTTAAATCAATTACCAAAAGCTAATGTTAAAACATTATCATATTTGTTGGTTCATATTAAGAAAATTGAATCTTTTTCAAATGTTAATAAAATGACGTATCATAATTTAGCTGTTGTTTTCGCTCCAACTTTTACAAGAGTTTCAAGTGGTGAAAGAGAATTAGCAGATATGCAACCAAGAAATACAGTTACAGAATTTTTATTAATTAATCAAGATGAAATCTTGAAGAATGTTGATTATTAATTGAACAAAATTTAACCCCCATCATATCTTTTTATTATTTTTAATGACAATGACATTTTAGTTTGTGTTTTATTTCTTCTTTTTCTCATTTTCAATTACAAATTTCAAATTTAACGGTTTATTTATACATAGTAATCATTCAATAGTGATAATATATAATGAATTGAATGAAATAATTAATATTTTTAACAAAAGTAAGATGTGTAGTACTACCAACCTCCAAGAGTTTGTAATCTTCATTATATCTTTTCATTATATGCATTTCAAATGTGAATATATACAAGAATTCCCTTCCAATTTCTCTTCTATCCCCAAACCACTTCCAATATGATACAGTAATAACACCCAACTTCTCATTTAATATCTTTAATCTCTGGAGCACTCAACATTTCATATTTTTTATAACCAGCTCTTAATAAATGTTCAATAGTGGAAAATTCCTTCTTTGGTAATTTTTGATACTTTCCAAATTCTTCTCTTGATGTATTTTCATTAGTTTTTGAGTTTTTAATTGAAAAATATGTATACGGATCATACTCACCTTGTATATCTGAAGAAATTGTGTCTATTTTGCTATCATATTGTTAGTTTGATGTTCATTAATTATTGATCTAATTCATTTTCAACTTAACATACTTCAGGCTTTGTATAAGCGGCTCTTATACATGTTCTGTATAATTTTAGGACTTCCTTCTGAAGTCCCGATAGCTTCTTTACTTTGGATGGCATTGTATGGGCTTTCATTATAGGCTTTTGTGATGAATACGATTTCCTGGAGTAACACTATATGATTACAATTTTATTGTTTTCGGAAATACAAGCTGACTACTAAAATCGCGAATATATGAAGTATTAGTCAACGATTAGTGTGTGTTATAAAACTTATTGATAGAGATTTCCGATTCAAAGATGAGTTGTTCTCTGTGTTATACACAAATCATTGTGTTGTACTGACCTATCAGCTTTGGCCTTCAATCTCTGTTCTTTGTTCGGATAATTAACAGGTGAACTAGAAGTGTTTATGTGATGGATGACTCGGAAGTACAGGTACGCAATAAATTAGTCAGTTCCATAGTAACTGAACAATACATACAGACTGAAGTGAGCTTAGACGTCCAATCAGAATAGGCTCAATAGCATTATTTTGGCTCTGTTCTCTGCACAAACTTCGAAGAATATCTGGATCGTTGTGCAGTTTGTTCTGGGTTCTGGGTTCTGAGTTCTGAGGTTCTCTGCTCATCGGAAAAAGGTACAAGATCTGATCCATGAAGTTAATGCTGAACTTGATCATAAAACCCTCAATATTGGAGAGAATTCACCAGTTTAAAGCGAGCTATAGTCTTTTTGAGCAAGTATAAATCACTAGACTACTTTTAACCTTTAATAACTCACTCTTATTACAATCATAAACTCTTTTAAAATCTTCCCAAACTTGCGCGTTTCAGAGCCGTTAAAAGTAAATAATGAAATGCGCATCGACATCAAAAAAATTTGACGCTAAAAAACCAGATCATAAACTTGTAAACAATAACAACCGCCTTCAACATCTTTGTAAAGAACCAATCCATCACAGAAACATATCAAGAAGATAGATACCTGGATAATCACATGAACTAACACTCTCTGTCATCCACAACAACAATCGTCGCAAAAATAGCATGTTTTCCAGTGCAGAGTCCATTATTCTTTCCTTCTGCACAAGGTTTGGTTATAGTGCCAGTATATACCCTGAAGGTTCATCAATACCCAATACTGGAAACACCATGGTAAATGGGAGCCCCATTGTCATCGAGTCATTTCAATTATCAAATCTACAATATGCTCTATCGGTTATAGGTTTCATTTGGTGGGCGGTTATGATGTTCATTATATATTATGGATTTACAGAGATTTATTTCAAATTCAATGGACCAAAATATAAACCTTTAGAAGTTCAAGTACAAAGTAATGATGGTGATGTTGATAAAATCATTGATCTGGATGATATACTGGAAGGTGTCACCATCTTAAGACCAATTAAAGGTATTGATCCAGAACTAGAAATATGTTTAGAAAGTTCAATATTACAAAAATATCCTAGTGAAAAATTACAAATTATTTTTTGTGTGGAAAATTCACAAGATCCAGCTATACCAATCATTGAAAAACTTATTAAAAGGTATAATCATTTAGATGTTGAATTATTAATTGATGAATCCTATGAAGATAATCATTTTGGTCCAAACCCAAAGATTAATAATTTAGCAAAAGGTTATAAAATGGCAAAATTTGATATAATATGGGTCTTGGACTCAAATGTTTTCGTTAATCCAGGAACATTATTAAGATCGATTATAAATTTACAAAAATCTATTGATAATGGTCGAGAAACATTTAATTTTGATACTGGTAAGGGGAATAAAATTAAAATTATGCATCATGTTCCATTAGCTGTTTCAATAAATAATTCAAATACATTAGGTAATTTAGGTGCAAGATTAGATGAAATGTTTTTATTTACTTCTCATGCTAAATTTTATGTTTTTTTCAATAAAGCTTCAATTGCACCATGTGTTAATGGGAAATCAAATATATATAGAAAATCTGATTTAGATTCATCTGTTATGGAAATTTCTAAAGGTCAAATACCATTAATAAATAATAGAGAATCTATTGCTAAAGCGGCTTCAACTTTTGTTAAGACTCCAGGTGAAGGTATAAGATTTTTTTCTAGATATATTGGAGAAGATAATATGATTGGTATTGCCCTCTGGAATGATCCAAATAATGGTGGTAGAACAGGTATGACTGGTGATGTTGTGATTCAACCAATTGGTGGCTCAACAAATAATGGACTACCATTTCATTATACAAATAAAATCATGGATTATGTTAATAGAAGAGTTCGTTGGTTAAGAGTACGTAAATATATGGTGTTAGCTGCAACTTTAGTTGAACCAACTACGGAAAGTTTATTAATTGGTGTATTTGGTACTTATGGTTTATCAAATTTATTTTTCCAAGGTCAATATAAAAAAACAATCATGTTTTTGCATGAATTAATTTGGTGTATCACTGATTATACTCAATTTAAAATATTATTAAAATTTGCCAATCAAGATAAATTACATGATAATCAGACTATATCACCATATTTTATAAATGATCATATCGAGGAGAAATATAAATTGATTAATTGGTTACCAATTTGGATTTTGAGAGAAATTTTAGCATTACCTATTTGGATCATGGCAATGTGTGGAACAGAAATTGATTGGAGGAATAGACCTTTCAAAATAAGGACTGATTTATGTGCAGAAGAGTTATAGATCAACTACCGAATGAAAGAATGTTGCTGACGATACTATCCTTGCAGTTGATCATCAATTAAATTATTATTTCACATGTTACCAAGTTTTCAATTGCACTACTTACACTACACCAATCAACTCGTTCAAGTTCAGAAATAAAAAACACATAGATGATAGAAGTGATTATAAAAGCATTCAAAAGCATAAAGAACAGCGCATCTCAGACATAAAAATCTTGCTAGATACTTCAATAGCTCAACATATCTATGAGCTGAAGCTAATTAATCTAATTTATATAGACTAATACATTAATACATATAGAAATCATACCATTCTGAAGTACACAATATGTAAACTGTACGTATTGTGCTAGGCTCTAGCTATATGTTTGAAAGAAAATGTATACTGCAAGTAACACATGTACGTAATATATCATGTACGTGTCTCATCAAGCTGATTCTTGGATCAGATCTATGTATTCATGGTTCACAGCTGGTTAGAATCTAGATTCAGCACGTATATAATTTTCCGAATCTAATTGACTTTATCAAGCATCTTAACAGGTGTATGGAGCCTTTATTCGCTGGGTTTTTCAAAGCTCTATTTATGAAGACAAAATTGTGGTACTAATAAAGACGAAGATCATTGAAATCGGTACCTGAATCCAAAAGACAACGTCGCACTATTAGTTTTATATCCTCTTGTTCGAGTAAATCAACGATCATATACGTGGGTACGATCATATCTTGTTAGCTTCCGTAGACTTGTACTAATTGATCAAAATCGAAATTAGGTATATATCCGTGGTTCAGGGAACAAATATACTGATGGTTGAACCAATGGTATCAAGTATCAAGAAGACTAATGGTAATGGGTATTCAATTTTATGGAACCGATTTGGAAGCTGGTACCTGATGTGCTGACAATAGTACATAATTTACATGATCCCCAATTGTTCTAGGCTCATCAATTAATTTGAATTATCCGTCATCCATGGTTAATTGACCTTTGATATTCGATACTATTAGTAGTTAAAATACCATTTTGATACAATTTCCTCAAGTTTATTAACAAATGATCCAGATTTCAAACTCATCAGATCTAAAATTAGAGCTTTTTCGGATTTTATACAAATTGATTTCGTGCGGTTGCGAGCAAAACATGCTTATAGTTGCATTCTCATACAGGGCTTGATGATTCACTCGAACTTTAACTGGTGAATTGAAAGTTTATTTGGCCTGTGAAAGTAGGAGAATGTCCGAGTTGCGCATCCAAGAACATCGGAAAACAGGCTCTTACATGCCATAGAAAATTTAAACTTTTTCAAATAAGTTGCAAATTGTAACTCAATTCATGATCTTGTAAGGCGAATGAGTTCAACCTAGTTGATAGTACCAGGCTCCAGCGAAACAGCTTGATAGATTATTGAAGGTGCCTCATTTGCCTTTTTGATTGTAGAAAGCACCATACTTAAGGCATGCGGCATGGCCCATCAGAACGAACAATTTTATTAGCTTTGAGCTTTGAGGGATACGTATCATACATTAGGTTTTTAGCGGTTAACAGCCTTAAACATGATAAGCTGCTACGTGGCTTTAGTGAGCCCTTGTAATTAAGACAAGGTGCTTTATCAATTGATTTGAATCTTGAACGTTGATTCAAATTTTAACCATTACTGCTTCCATCTCTTTGAAATATCGTCAGATCTTGAGATCGTATGAAAGACAAAGTAGTTACATTCGTTTATTAGAATACGATATATAACAAAGAGGTCTAGACGTTTGAAGATGCAAGTTATATTGAAATTGATTGTTCTTCCCTGTAAACTCTTGGTGTGTAGTAGTAATGAGCTACAGTAGTATCAAGATTCAAGCGATAGTATCATTCATCCGTTTCCTTTCGTTAAATTCACGAGGCCCAGATGCATCTTTATACACAAGACAAGGTGCACCATTTTGAAATTTAAACCCTTTCCAGCACTTGATTTTTCGACGCAGATCAGTAAAGTTACTCTTAAAGGTTGTATAACCTTTGGTGGACGCGTAAAAAAAATTAAATAAACTACATATGAACATCAAATTATCAAAGGGGTACACAGTACGTAAATTGTAATGCGTAGCGTATGGGTAAAAGCTTAAAGATTCAAGAAATTTGGTAAATTTCAAATTGGATATACTTATAACCTATACGTAATAATCATGGCGCAATTGTCCATTTAGACATGTTGTTGAGTAGCACAAGCATGAAGTACATAATTTGTAAGACCCGAAGCGTCTATCGTTTGATTAGCTGAGAAGTTTAAATCATGGTACCCCTGTGAATCTTCCGATTGTAAGTTCTTATATATAAAGATCACTGGATCCCTTGATATCTCAGGGGTCAGTAGTAAGTACTAAGTACACTAGTGATTTGATTTCATAAAGTTCTCATAGTACTACTTTAAACTTCCGTTTACACAACGCAACAAAACGCTAAGTCTGGGATTTGACTCCTTTCAAGTGGGTACAAACAAGTTTATTCCTGATCTCATCAAAGTTGTCATAGTTAAAATTGACATACCGTCATACCTCCAGTCAAAATTCTCAAAAGTTACTGTGCATTCACAAATTGTTTCAAATTTCTGCTGGTTTAAGTTGGATTGAGGTCCAGTCATATTCTTCCATTTTCAAGCTTTTCTAATCATCCTTAAGGAAGGCTGATCTTTAGTCCGTTAACGCTTATATTTGAGAAGAGATTTTAGTGCTTTTCTAATCACCACACGGTCCATAAGTCTTGATCTAGAAATTACGAACAAGGGTATACAAGGATTCAATCACCGAAAGGCTAAGAAAGTTTTATATTGGTTTTCTTTGTCGTTTGATTCATATAAAGATTCAATCATATCACTTTTACCATTTTGTTTTTCATTGAACCCTAGAACACGTTTGTTTGATAAGAAGTCACAACATTCCACAGGTTGCACATAAGATCAACACTTCTAGTGAGAAAAAAATACCAAAAGCTTCTGCATCAACGATTTAATAAGTCATAGCCATAGATATACATAATTACAAGAAAAACCGTTGAGATTCATAAAAAAAATCAAAAGATCTGTTTCTTTATACAATACAAATTATGGAACAATATCATAATAGAGACAACTCAATAGTTACAATGAGCACAGTCACAAGAACTTCATCTATATTTAGCCAATCTAAAGAAGTTGATGAAGATGATGATGTTTTTTCCCTTTATGCATATGATGAAGAAAAAGATGATACCAAAGAACAAAAATCTATAATACAAGATAATAAACAACACAAGAGATCAATAAGTTCCAATAGTGATTATTTTTCCAAAAATAAACTTAAAGCTATAATGATAACGGTATTCGGAGATCAAGATCAATTTGAAATATCAAATAACAAATTACAAGATTTTTTTTATGCTGGACCAATAAATAAACAATCAACAATATGGCGTAAGGCATATTATAATGATTATCATGGATTTGATCAATTAGAAAAAATTTATACAAATACTACTGATCAAGAATCTTTACAACAATCAAGTATTATAATAGATGATACACAATCTATTGTACCATCAACTATTGAAAATGAATCTATTCAAGAATCTCATGTTACAATTGATGAATTAGAACCATTATCAAGAGATCCAAAACAACAATATCATATAAGGTTAAGTACAATGGATGGGACATTTGCTACTATATTGAAAAAAAATGAAACAACTACAGTACAAGATGTATTGGAAATCTTAGATAATAAATATCAATTGAAAAATATTAAATTAACATTATTTGATAATAAAAATCAAGTGGAAATTTCTGATTTATCTAAAAATGATTTAATTTTAAAAAAACAAAATGATTTGTTAATACAAAGTGGTGTAAAAGTTGAAAATTTGATAAGAGAATGTTTGAATAATAATAATAGATGTAAGTTTATAATTAAAAGTGATGATACAATAAGTAATACAGGTAATACATTGAAAAATTCAAGAAGATCAATAAGTTGTGCATCATTAGTTAGAGATTCCAAGATTCATTATCATATAAGACTTTCTACAAAAGATGAATCATTCAAGACTATATTGAAAAAAGATGAAACTACAACATTAGGACAAGTTTTACAAACTTTAAAGAAAAGATTCCAATTACAAAATATTAAAATAGTATTAGAAGATACTTTGAATCAAACTGAAATTACAGGATTACAAAATGATGATCCAATAATAAGAATGCAAAATGATTTATTATTATCTAGTGGGGTTAAAATTGAAGATTTAAGTAAAGAATGTTTAAATAAGAATAATAGATTTAAATTTTATATTAAACAAGATACCAAGAATCATAATATTGAAGATTTAATTTTACAAAGAGATCCCAAAATAATTTATCCATTTAGATTATCAACACCAAATGGATCATTTTCTACAATTTTCCAAAAAGATGAAACAACAACACTTGGAGATATTTTATCATGTTTAGCTCATGCTTTTTATATAATGGGTGTTAATGAATTAATATTTGAAGATACACAAACTAATACAATTATTAAAAAATTTAATAATGGTGATGATGAAATTATTAAATATCAAAATGATTTTTTATTAAAAAATGGTGTTAAATTTGAAGATTTAAATAAAGTTTGTGGTGATGAAAATAGTAGATTTAGATTTATTATCAATGGAGTATGAAGATATACTCAATTATATTGTTATAATACGCTGTGTTTTATGTTTTTATTAGTTTTTGTTGTTATATATTGACTTTTAAGGTACACTTGGATAGGGAATATGAGTTATAGGACATTAATTCATTCATTAATATTAGTTTTTGTTTTTTGTTGTGGTTTTATTTAGAATAATTGTTACATTTTTTAATTATTAATATATAATATATGATATATCATTTCATTAAAACAACCATTGTAGTATACATACATGTCGAATTACATCAATTTTGTATAAGTGGAATCATTAATCTTTTATCACCACCATATAAATGATTCCATTTTTTCAATCCACCATCAAGAATATAAATCTTGGGGATCTTTGTGAAATCTTTACCACATTCAGTATGTAATAACAAATATCTTAGAAATTTTCTAGCACTTGAAGGACCTCTTTGATGAGATCTCATACAATGGAAGATATAAATTTGTTTAGAATTACCACGATCAATTGGATACTTGTTCAATAATTCAGGAATTGAATCTTTAAAAGTATGAGCTGGTATATTGATAGAGCTCGGTAGACATGCCTTATCTGTTAATATTACCATGATCAACTATCGATCTGTCTAATGTCTAATGTCTATGGCCGCTTAATTACACATACATATTTATAATCGGAATCTCGAACATCAACAACAACAAGATCGTCTCTTCCAGATAACAACCAAGGTTTCAAAGTATCAGGAGCTAATCTTGTGATGAATGCCGCGTACAAATGGTCAATGTTGTGATCCATTGTTTACCGATCAGGATAATAATCTCCAATAAAGAAGAACTAATGAATAACAATATACAATATTTTGATGAAAAAGTTTATAATAGTGGCAATATTCGGTAATCATCGGTGGCTAATTACCTTACCCGTGTGTATTCCGTGTCCTTTATTAACCGAATTCAGTGTTTACTTAAAAATTGTTGATTGTAAAATGGCACAAGCACACTAAAAAAAACTAAATTATAAACGATTTTAACTTGAACTAAAATAATTTTGTGGTTTTTGTGACAATGAAGATCTGAGAATGACCGATGTCTTCCCAATTTTGAAGTGTTTGTGCTTTTTTAGTTTGTTGGTTTCAGTTTACAAAGGTTGGCGGTTAAAAGTGTTATAAATACAAAGTGGTTTACCCTTTTATATTCATTAAGATCTGGCTATTGATATTAAACAAATCTACTTTGCTTATCCTGCTTATACTTTACAAAGATGCTTCCTGTTGCGCTGGAAATTGATGAACACAAAGGTGGTGCTGCTGCTGGTACTGCTTCCACTGGTGCTGGTGGCGCTTATTTTGATTATTCACCTCCAACTACAAGATCAAAATCAAGATCTAAAAGTTTAGAAGAGGCAAAAATTACCGCTGAACTGAAACTGATTAAAGATGCTGCAAAATTGAAACTGACTTCTAATACTAATAATTCTATGGATATTGATCATACTATTGATGAAAATTTACAAATCCCATTTGGTGAATATCTTTTCAAAAGATTAAAACAAATTGAAAATGTTGGTTCGATCTTTGGTGTTCCTGGTGATTTTAATTTGGGTCTTTTAGAACATTTATACAAGACTGATTTGAAATGGATCGGTGGTTGTAATGAATTGAATTCTGGTTATGCCGCTGATGGTTATTCAAGATATACAAACTCATTAGGTGTCTTGATTACAACTTATGGTGTTGGTGAATTAAGTGCTCTGAATGCAATTGCTGGTGCTTTTGCTGAATATTCAAAAGTTTTACACATTGTTGGGATTCCAAAAACTTCAGTTATTAATGATAAATCAAATAAAAAACATTTACATCATTTAGTTCCAAATATTAATTCTTTGAAAAAATCAGATTTCCGTGTTTATACTAAAATGGTTGATGGAATTAGTTGTATCAGTAAAACTCTAGATAATCCTGATACTTTAACAAGTGATTTAGATGAAGTTATAAATGCCATTTTCCAAACCAGTAGACCTGGTTTCATTTTTCTACCTTTAGATATGGCTAATGCTGAAGTTAATAGTTTACCTTTACAAATTACAGAAAAACGTGGAATTGTACCACATATAGTTCAAGATGATGATATAGACAAAACTGAAGCAATTGCAGATGAAATTCTTGAATACATTTATCAATCAGAAAATACTGCAATCCTTGGTGATATATTGTGTGATAGATTTCATAATGGTACAGAACTGTTGAGATCATTTGTTAGTTCAACTAAATTACCTAATTATACAACTTTTATGGGTAAATCAATATTGGATGAAACTGATTCAAATTTTGTTGGTGATTATATGGGTAATCTGTCCAAGATTGGTATTGCTGAGAATTTGGAAGCTTCTGATTTAATTTTATATTTTGGTCCTTATATTAATGAAATTAATACTGGATTATATACTTATAACTTGAAAGAGGAACAATTGATTCTATTACATCCAGATTATATCAAAATTGGTCGTACTTTATATGAAGGTGTTCATTTCATTAATGTTTTAAATGCTTTAAATTTAAGATTGGACACTTCAAGGTTACCAACTAGATCAACACATTTGAAATATGAAATTAAAAATAGATTTGATAATATTGAATCCAAATCTTCATTATCACAATCTGTTATGTTATCAAAATTTGAAAATTTTATTCAAGAAGGTGATGTTATTGTTTGTGAAACTGGTTCTTTTATGTTTGGTGTTCCAGATATTAAATTCAAAAAAAATGTTAGATATATTGCACAAGGGTTTTATTTATCCATTGGTATGGCTTTACCTGCAAGTACTGGTGTTGGTATTGCAATGAGAGATATGGGTCATGATAAAAAATCAAGACTAATCTTGATTGAAGGTGATGGATCTGCTCAAATGACTGTTCAAGAAATTTCTTCATTTATTCAATATGATTTGAAACCAGTTATATTTTTATTAAATAATAGTGGTTATACTGTGGAAAGAATCATTGAAGGTGAAACAAGAGATTATAATGATATTAAACCATGGAATTGGTCTAAAATTTTTGAATTATTTGAATTTGGTGATAAACATGAAAAAACTGAAGTTAAAGTTGTTTCAGATGAAATTCAATTAGCCAAGGCATTTGCATCTGCTGATTTTAATCCTAATAAATTGAGATTTCATGAAGTTATTTTAGATCCAATGGATTGTCCTTGGAGATTTCATCATATGAATGGTTATAAACATCTTGACCCTGCTACTGCACAAAAATGAGTAGTTTTTTCATCGTGATTTGTCATTTGTTTTTGATTTTGGTTACGAATTTGCACAGCTGATCTTTTTTTGGTTTTTTTTTATATTTCTTAGTTCTTATTCATCTTTATAATTATATTCATTGGTTTTATTTTTGCATGCATTGTCATATGGTTTTATTAGTGATGTACTAATACTACATACATACTTTTTTAATAATACATGAAACTTTTATTAAACATTATATTTTAAGTGTTGTAGTACTATAATACATATCCATTGATCTATATATCATTCTAATCAATTGTCTATAGATTCAACAACATTCATCTAAAGCCATTAATAAAAACACGTTAATTCGTTTCCTTATGAATGGTGATGATTGAGAATTTTTCAAAATATTATAAAGTTGAACAACCCTTGTTCTGATTTCTGAGTCTTTATTCAATATTAATTGGAATAAACAATTGAACCCATTATAAGGATTCCCAAATTCATCAATATCATCACCTTGATATAATAAATCATCAATTTTTCCAATCTTTATGGGGAATAATTCAATTAATAAAATAAATTTTTCTAAATGTCCTTTAATATTTGATGATAAAAATTCTAAAATTATATCTAAACTTTTCAAAATTTTTTCATTTATCCAAATTTCTGGTGATTTTATCAAATTTTTAAATAAAATTTCTAATGTCTCTATTAACTTTATTATCTTGTATTCAAAAATCCAATCAAATAATACAAGATTTTTATTCATTTTTAGGTAATAATCTTTTAAATCTATTTCTGATGATTCATTATTAATATCATTTCTTTTCAAGATTTTTAAAATTTCATAAATATTAAATTTTTGATATGTATTAAAAATTGTTGTAAAATCATGTGAACCTTTCAATAAATTCGTGGAAATATCTAAAAAATCTTGGGTTTTGATAAAGACATCTTTTTCAAAAAATTCTAATGACCTGAGAACAGATTTATTTGGAATCATTTCAAAAGTGGTTAAATCATACCAAAAATCATAAAAATCTGGATTTTCTTTCATTATTGGATTATTCGTACCTATGATTTTAGTATTTTGGAATTTTTTATCATATTCAATTAATGAATCAAAATTATAAAGATCTATTAGTGGAAAATATAAGATTTTATCATTATGGAAATATGATGAATTAAAACCATTGAATAACTTAGATAATGATAAGATGAATTGACAAAGTTGATCTGTACTTTGAGATGAATAAATCATTATATTGAAATTTTTATAATTTGTTAAGTTTAAAATTGTGGAGAATTTAATTAGGAAATTAAGTATTAATTTTGTCAAATTTAAATCTGTTTGAATTTGATTTGATGATGATGTTAATGATAAATGTAATGGTATCTTTGTTAATATTTTATCCATGGGGTCTTCAATTGTTGTTTGGGTTTGATTTGAAATTATTGCTGATTGTTCTAATGAACATGATTTATATCTTATATTTTCAGTATCTAATGAATCATTTGATAATAAAGTTTCTCTTAACTTTGGTAAGATCAATCTATTATTGATTTCTGAATTTAATTGTGTTATTTTTTGAAAATCATTAAAAGATTTGTTGAATTGATTATAAAGTGTTAAATCTATGCTATTGATGGTATTAAATAATGCTAATAAATGAGATAATTGATTATCCAGCATATAATTTTGAATTGCAATTGTTATATGATGCTTGAAAATGATGAAGTTTCTTAATGGTGTCCCCACAGATATTGATCGTACTTTCCCACCTCTTTCATCATTAGAGTCTTCAATTTTTTTGGTAACTGTATAGAAAAATAATATATCATCATCATGATTTTTATATTCAAATATTGTATTGATTTCATTAAGACTTATATGTTGTAATCCTAGACTGGAGTCTGGTATGAATTCATCCTGGTCATCAGGTAATAATTGATATTTCCCATTTGGAGATTTATACAGGATGAAAACTGAATAATCTTCTTTTGTATAATGTTCACTATGATTAGGAATCATTAATTCACCAAGATGTGGTAAGTTCTCTTTGAAGCCTGGAATTCTTTTAGGTATTTGATGTCGTACGACTGCACCTATTTTGTTATCAAACTCAGCTGAAATTACATATTTAACGGATCTTGCTTCTTGAAGGGTCATAGCTGGAGATTTTGGTGATATTTCAGATCCAGCATGATTATGCTTTATCCTAGTAGGAGTTGTAGGGAAACCTTTGGTTTCCATTGTTTCCTTTTACCTTTTTGATACTGGAACCTTCAACAGTAATAACAGCTACCAATAAGTACACCACCACCAACAATCAAAAGAACACTTGTCTAGTTTCAAAACCTTCTGATTGTCTAAACAAAATGTCTATTATTCCATTTATATGTCTTCTGATTTTCTGCTAACAGCTGCAGCTCTTCGCGAATCTGGACCGGTTTTGGCCAGTTTCCCTACCGAATTTGGAATCGCGAATATTTGAATTTTGAATTCTCGTTTTCTATTTAAAAACTGACGATTCGCCCCTAAAAAACATCCTTTCAACTTCAACAACAACGAAAAGTTCATCAACAACAACAACTACAATTACAACCATGTCCGCTTTAGACCAATCCTTAGACGAAATCCTGTCCTCAAAACCAAAGAGACAATTCAACAAGAAGAAAGCTCCAGTCGCTAAGGCTAGAGTCGGTAAACAAGTTGGTAAACAAGCTGGTAAACCTGTCAAGAAGACCCCAACCGGTCCTGCTCCAAAAAGAGATTCTTCAGTTTTAGACGCTTCTTACGCTAATAAAGTCGTTGTCTACCACTTACCAAGAGATATCAAACAAGACGCTATCAAGGTATGTTCAGTATAATGAAATGATGGGAATAATTTTGTTTGTTTGTTGAGAATGTGAGAGATTATGAAAAATGTTGGTTATTTTACCATCTATTTGGTAATTCATCATTTGATAGATATTTTCCTTTGTCCATGTGACTTTTTCCGCTTCATGATGATGTGAAAATTTTGTTCTTGATCCAAGATGATAATATTTGTGCCTGTAAATTTTTATGATGTGATATTTTTACTTATATTCCATTTGGAATTTGGGCGGTAAGCATTTAAAAAACACAAATCCACAAATTAAAAGAGTTTGGAATATCAGAATTTGAATGCAAAGAGTTGTTTCTAGCCTCATTTCTACTCTATCCTTTGTGTTTTTTTTTTATTCTACGGGTCTTTATGATGTTGAAGTTCATGATTTTGATTCTTCGATAACCTGGAATTTTTTTTTGTTTTTGGCTAGAGGTTTTCCTTCTTTTGGTTAAACTTGGATCCTCATTTAAGATATTTGTTACTATGTTTTTACATTGTTTTATTATGAGTTGATTCCAAAAATCTTGACTAAATGAATCTATATCCATTGTTGGAGCAGATGTCAAGATTTAAAAGTTTAACCAATTTTTTTGTTTCTGGTTTGATCTTATCAAAACAATTTGAACCTATTTGTCGGTGTTTGATACGATGTATCTTCTTTGGTTGTGTTTTCAATTTTTGTTATTTTTTTGCTAAATTGAAAGAAGTTTTGGGCTCTAAACAAGTTTAAGATGAAGGTTACCAATGATATATGTTATATCCGTATAAACTCCAATATTCACGATAAATTTCAAAGAAGAATCAACCAAACACAGATTTAGGATTAAATTTGATAAGTATTTCTCTTGGGTAGCTATTTTTTTTTCCTGGTAAAATCACAACACATTATAAATTTCTACACAAATTATCATATTAAACCTTGGGATCATAAGTTCATAATATTTTACTAGTGAAGTGGGATCAAAGTCTATGGTGTAACTTCTATCTTTCATGTTTTCTCATAATCTTTTATTATTGAAATTTTCAACAAATTATTTTCAATTTTTTATAGTTTTTAGGATTTAGATGATTAACATTTTTATTTTTTAGGATTTTTTTGCATCTCAAGTTGGTGGTGTTGCAAGTGTTGGTTTATCATATAATGAAAAAGGTCAATCAAAAGGTATTGCTACAATTATTTTCAAATCAGCAGCTAATGCATCAAAAGCTGTTGAAAAATACAATGGTGCTCCAATTGATGGTGGATCACAAAAATTAAAATTAGAATTAATTATTGATCCAACTAAAAGACCATTAAGTTCAAGAATTGCTGCTAATGTTCCAACAACTCAACCAAAAGGTCCAAAAGGTTTAAAAGCTGGTTCTAAGAAAGGTGGTGAAAAAACTATTTCAACTTCAAATAAACCAAATCAAAATGGTGCTAAAAAACAAGCTAATAAACCAAAGAATAAAAAACCAGCCAAAAAGACACTTGAAGAATTAGATCAAGAAATGTCTGATTATTTTGAAAAGAAAGATTAGGGGTTATTAGTTAACTATTATATCTTTTTGATTTTGTAAATTAGTCAAAAGATTGTCTATTATGGTAAAGTTTTTTTTTAGTTCTTCAAATAGGAGTACTTCAAATATTCCTATAATTGTGTTTTATGTATAAGCTGAATAATTATAATTATGTGTTATTTTTTATTACAATTTATTAAGTAGTAGTTTATTTTACCCATAACCTTCATTAAATATATTATACGTCATACTATTTACAACTCATCTTATCATTTTAAATCATTTAATTTTTTGTTGAACCACCAAAATCTAATATCCCACTAAATCTATCACCACCTCTTCTTGAAGAATAAGAATTTCCAGCACCTTCAAATTCAGATTTTCTTTTATATTCACCAGTACTTTCAGCAAAACCTGGTTTAATTTTAGCAATATTATCTTGAACAGATTTACCAGAATTTATATCATTTTCATTATTTTCATCATTTGTAAAATGTTCAGGAATAAATTGTTTTTCTCTATTATATTCAATCCATGATTTTGTTGCATAAATAGATCCAATAGCTAAGGAAGAAATGAACCAAAAGTTCTGTAGGAATGCTTGGAAAGGAGCTGATCTGTTCATAATATATAAAGTAGTTTCTTTAACACAGTTGTAACTTTTTTAGTGTCGTTTGATGAAGTTGTTGTATTTCCAAAACCTGCTTAAAATGCTTATTTTAGTTATAAATTTTCAATTTCTTATTGGTGATAAAAATCTGGATTCTTCTGAAACAGGTAATTTCCTCTTTGGGTAGTTTTTTAATTGTTTGTTCGGATTATTGGAAAGATATTGAAAAGACCTGGGGAATAATCAACATTCAACAACAATTGAAGAACAATTGAACAACAATTGAATAACAAAGACAAGTTGATTAAAGGGGTTTCGATAAGAAGGATTTGAAATATGGCTGATAGATTGGATGCAGACCCTGTGGCTCATGCCCTTGCCGGTGGTATTGGTGGTGCTTTAAGTATGGCTGTTACTTATCCATTAGTTACGCTATCAACATTAGCACAAACCAAATCATCTAAAACTCAAGATAATTCAAATGATGATGGTGCAAATGAAAAGAAGGGGAAAGTTTCAACATTAAATGCAGCTAAATATCTTTGGAAAAATGAAGGTTTTAAAGGATTTTATTCAGGTTTAGAAAGTGCAATTTTTGGAATTTCATTAAATAATTTAGTTTATTATTATTTTTATGAATCTATAACTAAAACTTTATTAACTTCTAAAGCTTCAAGATCCAATGGTGGTTCTAGAGGTCTTTCATCATTTGAAAGTATTATAACTGGTGCTATTGCCGGTTCAATTACTTGTATTTCATGTAATCCAATTTGGGTTGCAAATACAAGAATGACTGTTAAAAATGGAGATTCAGGTAAAAATTCAAATACTTTACAAACAATTATTCAAATTATTCAAAATGATGGTATTGGTACATTATTTGCTGGTGTTTTACCTGCATTAATTCTTGTTTTGAATCCAATTATTCAATATACTATATTTGAACAATTGAAAAATTTTATTAATAAAAGAAGAGGGGGAAAAGGTATAACTTCATTACATGCATTTTTCATTGGTGCATTGGGGAAATTGTTAGCAACTGGATCAACATATCCTTATATAACATTAAAATCTCGTATGCATTTGAAAAATGATGGTGAAGGTAATAAAGAAAAAACAATTATTGGATTAATTAAACAAATTTATTCCAAAGAAGGATTACAAGGGTTTTATAATGGATTAAATGTTAAATTATCACAATCTGTCTTGACTGCTGCATTCTTGTTTTTTTTCAAAGAAGAATTAACTCAAGTTAGTATTAAATTATTAAGATTGATTAAATCAAGAAAAGGTTCATTAAAAGTATGAATATATATGTATATGTATCTATAACCACTTTGTACAATCTATGTAAAAGTCTTCTTTAATTGTTCATAAGTAAAGAAAATAACAGCATTTGAAGGTATAGCTCTTGTTAAAGTAATTCCTAAACCAGTATAGAATCCTTTAAATCCACTATATTTATAAATTTTCAATCCAGTTTGTATAAAATTTAATTGTTCATTTGGATTTATAATTGAACTTGTTTGCATCTTGGATTTTATTGTATCTGCTGGAAATAATGATAAATTATACATTATACCTGCACTTGCACCACTTATTAATAATTCTGGTATAGTTGATTCAATCTTATCTGGGGCAGAAGGAGATCTTAATTTTTTTAAATTATATGAAATAAATTCATATGAACCAAACCATGATGCAGTACCACCACATTCTCTTAACAAAGTACCAGTTTGACCAAACCAAAAACCTTTTATACCAGTTTGTTTATAAATTTTCTTGATTTGTTTTAATATAGTGGAATCTTCTTTAGAATAAACATGTTCAACTTGAATTTTACATTTAACTAATTCAATTGGAGTTAATATAAAAGATGCAACAATCCCACTAAACCCACCAGCAACGATTAAATAATTTAATGGTAATTTTTGGTCTTTGGGTATATTCAACACATGAGATTTAATAAAATCTTGAGTTAAATTATATGTAACAAATAAACAAGCATTTTCAGCAGCTGCACCAATAATTGGTGAAGTTAAACCTCTATAAAATCCATGGAAACCTTCAGATTTATAAGTTTTTTTGATACAATCTATAGTATTTAAATATTTTAAAGGTTGATCATGTGGTTGAGATTGTAATCTAACTTTTATAGTATCGAAGGGATATTCAATGGTTTTACCAGTACATCCTGATAACTTTTGGACATGTTAGTTTTTTGATCTGAGTCATAATATCACCGGGGAATAATATGAGTATTAACATACAGAACCAAATAAGATATCCTTCAGACTATCATTGAAAGTGGATTCAGTATTAGACATCCAGATTCCACAGAGTACTACTTGATCTAAGTTAATCACTTGTAAATCTGGTATTTTTTAGTGAAATGTAAAGTAAAATATATATTTTATCAAAAATTTTCAAATCACTATCAGATCAATTTTATTCATCTAATCGTGGTTGGGACAGAATCGGCAGCACTTAAATAAAGAATAATAGAAAAGAAAGATGGTGATGATAAGCGATTGTATTATGAGATTTAAAACCCTTTAAATTAAATGTCTCTGTGTTTTTTTATGTGTTCTTTATTTCATTATGCCCTATAATTGTATCTATGTTTAAAACTTTTCAGTAATGCTCGGTTTTGCATAGTGATAGCAACTTAAGGAACCCGAGAAATGGTGATGAATATGTGAATTATAGTTGATAAATAGGGTAAAATATGGTATTAATTGATGATTTTAATGTTAAATGTTTGTTTAAATGAATATTTCATCAAGAATTCCACCATTTTACTAAAAAAACCCATCAATTATACCCATTTTAGTGCTTATTCTCTTGTGTTCTGACATATTCTTAAATTACGTAAGTGCATACAAGTCGAATTCGAATACGTATTAAAATATCAAAAATATAAAAACTCAGGGGATTCCACTTTTATTTACTTTTATTTACTTTTATTTACTTTTATTTATCAACAAATCATCATGTCTAAAACATTGGCTACTCAATTGGATACTCCTCAACCATTCCCACAAATCGCTGATAACGTACTAGACCTATTCAGTCTAAAGGGCAAAGTCGCCAGTATTACTGGTTCTTCAACTGGTATTGGTCTTGAAGTTGCTAAAGCTTATGCTCAAGCTGGTGCTGATGTTGCAATTTGGTATAATTCTCATCCTGCTGATGATAAAGCTAAAGAAATCTCTGAAAAATATGGTGTTAGAGCAAAAGCTTATAAAGTTTCATTAACTGATTTTAAATCTATTGATGAAGCTATAAAGCAAATTGAATTAGATTTTGGTACTATTGATATATTTGTTTCAAATGCTGGTAAAGCTTGGACTGGTGGTGGTATTTTGGATCAATCTGATGATACTGAATGGAAAGATGTTATTGATTTAGATTTAAATTCTATTTATTATCTTTCAAGAGCTATTGGTAAAATTTTTAAAAAAAAAGGTACTGGTACTTATATTATAACTGCTTCAATGTCTGGTCATGTTGTAAATATCCCACAAATGCAATCTGGTTATAATGCTGCAAAAGCTGCAGTTATTCATTTTGCTAAATCATTAGCTGTTGAATGGTCAGGTTTTGCAAGAGTTAATACCGTGTCACCAGGTTATATAGCCACAGAATTAACTAAATTTGCTGATTCTGAATTGAAAAAACAATGGTGGTCATTAATTCCAATGGGTAGAGAAGCTTTACCAAAAGAATTGGTTGGTGCTTATTTATATTTAGCTTCAGATGCTTCTTCTTATGTTACTGGTACTGATATTCGTGTTGATGGTGGTTATACAGCGCTATAATGTTGTTTTTAGCCGCCCAGTTCATTTCCAACTTTTTTTGCTTCAAAATTATAATAGAAAATAGATGAAAGATTATAGGCTAAGTCTATATTACTAAGTTGTGCTTTCATTGTTGATCACTGGTGATCAAAGATCTGATATTTGTCTAAATATTTGTCTTACAAAAAAATTCAAAACAAAAAAATCATTCAACAAAACTAAAAACAAGAAACTTTATGAGAATAGTTTCTTTCAAAATGAATGATATTTATTTTCGATTTTCAAATTGTATGAATATTTCTATTGTTTAGTTTCAAATTGTTTATTGTATTTCTCCGATTTTGTCATAAACTAGTAGTATTGCTCTACGATAATCAAATCTGATCTCAAAGCAAAACTTAACCTAACTTCTCTTCACTTGCTTTAGTTCATAAATCTAATTTTAGTTTGCTTTATGATCGTACTATGTAAGTACCTTAATCAACATAGACTAAAAATTTAGATCCAACTGCATACATAATGAATTTCGGTTTTGTGTCAAAAATTTATACTTGAAAAAAATTTAGATCACAACAACAGCCGAAGAATGGAAATCTTTAGACAAAATTTAGTTCTTAAAAGTTCTAAAGAATTTAGATTAACGTTGGTTGTGATTTTCAAATCATACATCATCATATTAGCAAAGAGTCTATTCATTTATGTCACAATTTATCAAAAAAAATCCATTATATAATAATAATGATCATGATCATGATCATGAAGATATTATTGATGTCATTAGTTCCAATTCCAAGACACAAAGTCCCAAGATTGAAGAATTAGAAAGAATTGATGATTATAATAGTGAATATAATAATAATGGTGGATTGAGTGCTTTAACTGATAAAAATTTTACAATTAATAAATTAAATAATAATTATCAAAATTATACTTCAATTTCTGATCAAATTTTCCAAAATTATACTTTCTTACCAAAAGGTTATAAATCTAAAAAGAAAGGTAAAGAAATTGAAGATCTTGATAATGATAATGACAATGATGGTGATGACAATGATGATGTTGATCAAACACATCAAGATCAAATTCAAAGTGCAGATTTTGAAACTGCAAAAACTGGAACTTTTAAAAGTGCTTTAGATATATATAACCCACAATCAACAACTTCAATGATTTCAAAAGATTTTGCAAATGCAAAAGAATTAACTTCAGAAGAATTACCACCTCAAGATACAATGAATTCTCAAGCTTTGATTCCAATCACACCACCTTTACAAACATTACCAAATGATCAATTATCACCACTGCCAAATGATTTACTGAATTCGCCACTGGTTAATATAACAACAATGGCAAGATTAGTTAAATTTTTAAGATATATCATTGGTAAACCTGATCAAAGACAACCTTTACCTGATCCTGAAAGACAACCTTTAATTTCTCCAATTGGTTCCCCTATAAATTCACCAAATCGTGGATTTTATAATGGTCCTGGAAATGGTCCTGGTGGTCCTGCTTATGATTTAATTGGTAGATATAGACAAATTTTTGTTGGATTAAGTCTGTTACTGACATTAGTACTGTTGATTATTTTATTAGTCACTGGTGATTCTCAATTATTAGCTTTAATTTTTAGAGCTCTGTTATGTTATTTATTAGGTGATAATGCTCAAAGATTACTTGGTGAAGATTTTTGTCCTCATTATGGTTGGTTTTGGCCATGGACTGCTTGAATATTTTCTTATAGATCTATGTATTAGCAGCATTATGATACCAACAAAACATTTGCATTCATTTTATAGACTATTAAAGATTCAATCATTTTTAAAGCAATATTCAAACAATAGGAAAAATTTGATCATAATATGAAGTTGTTTTAATGATTATGACACACACACACAGATTATGTACTCTTATGATATGAAACTTATGACAGCATTCAGTTCTATGGTTATATTTTAGTTCATTTAGTTAATTTTTTTATGGGTTTTCAATTGTTAATGGTTATTTTTATTTTTATGGGGGTTTTGGGTTTATAATATATGGGAGTTTTCCGGTATTCGCACGCTTTTCAATATTTTTGAATAAAATTAGTTTTAATATGGAATAATTTGTTTATTTTTAATTGATTAATGTAGTTTTTATTCAATAATTGGATAAACTTGGTTTTTTGACAATTTTTCCATGTTTTTTTTCACCAATTTTTGAATTTTTAAAATGAAGTACACTTTAATAATTTTATATATGGTTTAAAATTGAAATAATCTCAAAATCTTGAAAAAAAAAAGTTTGAAATAGCAATTAATATTATATTCATTATAAAGTTAAAGCAATATTACAGATTTTATGATTTTTTCAGCTATTACTTACTAACAATGTTTATCAATTATATTGTATTTAAAGTACCACATATTACCTAATCATTACATAATAAAGATGACATAATCAAATTTTGAAAATTAATAAAAAAATTTAAGCTCATCTCATCTTCTTATACTAGGGAAATACAGATCATTTGATTTCAGAAAGGTTTAACTTTTATTGATAAAGAAGGTTATAATAATGGGTGTTAGAAGATCAAGTTCTAGTATAGCAAGTTCTTCACCAAGTGGGAAGAAAAGTCATAAGAAATTTGATGAAGATGAATTTCATACAGCTGATGAACATTCTGATTTAGATCAAGAAGATCAAGAAGATCAAGAAGAAGAAGCTATAGAGGAAGAAGAAGATGATAGTGAAGATGATAGTGATAGTGATAGCGATGATGCACCAGAAGAAGAAAGCGTAAGAACGGGTAAACAACAATATGAAGAAGATAGTAAAAAACAAAAAGAATTAATAAAACAAGAACAAAAATTAGCTAAACAGAAAAGGATTGAACAACAAGAAAGATTTGCTAAACAACAAGAACTTAGAAAGATAAAATTAAAAGAATTAGAAGAACAAGATTTATTGAAACAACAACAAGAACAAAAAAGATCAAAAGAAAAAGAGATTAAAGAATATAATAAATTAATTGAAGAAGAATTAATTCAAAAAGAATTTGAAAAACAAATTTCTCAACAAGAAAAATTAAATAATTTAAAAAAATTTCATAAAAAACAAAATGATGTTAAAAAATTTAAAGATATTGGATTACAAGTTAAATCATTAAAATCTTTAACTCCTGGTAAAATTGTTAAAAATAATATAAATCGTGATTCTTTATTAAATAGACGTAAAAAGAAATTGAATAAAAGGGTATAAAGAATTTTAAAAATGGAATATCAAATTGAAGGAAGAAGTATTGTTTAATATATACATGTATATTTATAATTAATGGGTATTAATGTTTTGATTGGGTGATTGTAAAATTTTGAAACTCAAAATTAATAAAAATTACATGGGAGTGTTTTCTACTTAGCTTTAATCACTTACATACGAGTTGGTTAAGCTGCTGTACGCTTATGGAGCACTTGTTGTTTTATATCATCACGGGTTTTCAAGGTATCTTTGGTTTTCATTTAGTATGTAATATTGATGAGATCATGAACATATTTAGCATATATCCTCGAGGGGGCCCTCAATATGGTAATGTAAGTATAATAATAAAGATCTTCATTATCCAAATATCCAAATAAGGGTTAAATAGATATTTGGACCATATGTCAATTCAAGTATATGAAATAATATCGCTTAAACTCATTGAGCCCGGTTGAATAAATTTCGAAGTTAAGTACTGGGGATTAATAAGATCTTCAATTTCCAATATAATGTACTCCTTAATAAAGAAATGCGTGAAATTAGCTGTATTTCTGAAGTTCAAGATAAATCTGATATCTATAAGAGGTCTAGGTTGTATCGAGATTACTTATTCAAAGCATTCTAATCCATTCTATCATTGCTTTAAGTGATACCAAAGATAGCATATGAGCTACAAGATCAACAACATCTAAAAAATGTTTAAGATCAACTAAATGAGCTCAATTTTAACCTTTAACTGAATCTTGCCTCAAAAATATTAAAGTCTCCTAAGATAGGATTTGTTTAGCGAAATAATAATAATTAGCAATCTTTAAACTTTGTTTCCTAAGGCTTCACTAATCAATAATGTTATTGTGCATTTAATGGTACCAAATATTCAAACAAACTGTAATCGGGAATTAAAGTTAACTTTGACAGCTTGTTGAATTGAGTTATCAAATTGAATACTAACTTCTTAAAAATCTACATTGTCACGCTTTTAAGGCTTGTGGATTCGAAAGTTATGCTTATTGTATCGTATGTATTTGGTACTTGAAGCTCATCATCACGTATCTGTATTACATAAAGGGGGGTACTATACAAAATTCTAAATTAACTTTGGTTAGTAAAGTTAAACTTAAATTATAGGCTAGCCCTGTCAGCTACTTGTAAATGAACATGCGTCAAATCTTTTAAGGCAGATGTAACTTAGTAGCACCAATATATACGCCGTCGATGTTATATGTAATATACAATATACAATATACAATGCACAACAGAAGTTTCACTGCTACTGTTAGTGCACGTAAATGACGTTTATCAAGAATTTGCACTTAGCATTTCAATAAGCTATGATAATATACGAGAAACTAAAACTATATCTATAGATTTTACGTAGCTGCGTATAGAGCTCAGATATTGTTACATTTATACATGGGCAAATTCATACTGCTATATCATAACAAGTTTCAGATCAGTTAAGTATTTCACTTTAATAGGTACACAATTTCAAGCAAAGCAAATTCGTTTGAATTCAAAGGACTTCAGACTTCAGACTGATCTTGACACCCACTGAAAAGAGCAGAGCAGCTTAAAATAATACGCTGTAATTACTTGTAGCCTTGTACCTTGGTCCTTGTCCCATTGTATTGAAGAGTACTCTTTTGTTTAACGTCATTATGATAATCCACCCGATTAAGACCGGAATTTTTAACATTTTGACATGAGATTAACTTCAATTAATCAAGTTGTTAGTACCAGATCTACAAGATCAAGAATCTTCTGTAGGTGTAATTTCTGTAGTATTGGTACGTTCTGATAAATAAGATGCTCATATAATCTAGAACTTGTACATAATACATAATACATATAATATTGTACACAAAGTCTACAGATTGTAAGACATCGTTCGAATATTCAATTAGATGTGTACGTATGATGATTGATGATTGATCCTGATTCCTGAATACACCAGATTCCCAATCACGATTCATGGCAGGATGCCTAAGGACTTTTCAGTTATTAGTGCAGGGGATCAAGTCAAACAATATGATATAGACATACCAGCTTATACGTATACGCTAATAAAGTACTTTTAGAGTGGACGTCCAACTAGTATGACAAAATTTTTGTCAGGTCGTAAGTTGTAACTAATTTTCATAAGTAGAGCGATGATTTATTGATGATGATGATTCATGAATCATGAATATACGTATTACGTACATCCCCAAATTTCAATGCTATTGATCAGGATTCAGAACTCTTTGAAGTTTGAAGTTTGAAACAGTGAAATCTATAACATGCATGTAAATGTACAAGTTTACAGATTTCAAAATTATATCCTTGTAATGCATAATGTATTCTAAGGCGGATAGACCAATCTGACTTGTTCAAGATTGTACGTAAATATAAAGAATCACACCAAAGCCAAACAAAATCCTTAATTTGTGAATACCAAAGAGCACTAGTATTCTAGAAGAACATCTTGAGTAATATGTACAGCGATTGATCTTGGTTGTTTCGTTTAAAAAGGCTGTTGACTATTGACCTCATACAGAATCCAGACCAGGTACAGCTTTCAGCTTAAGTCAACACTATGTTACCAGGTAGCTGTGCTTGGTTACGAGATCTAGGATCATTAGATTCGTTAACTCCTTTAGCGTATAAGTATGCTCACATATTACGTACATATTGATCAATCAAAATTACTCCGAAAATCAGTGTATGTCACTTTGTAGAATTTCTTCTATGATAAACTTAAGGAGTAGCTACTAGCTACTAGCCAGCCAGGACTCAGTTAGTATCTACTATATGATTTAATAATTTTTCCCTCATTTATCTGTTTATCTCATATCTCATGATAGTAATTACCAATCAAGCTTCTAGTTCTAGGGCAAAAAAAAACTCGATCCCACGATGAATAGAGATAATTAGCGAGCCATTAATTAAGATAATATTTAGACTCATAATTAGTCGAAGTTTGGGGCCTGCTTAAGTGTTTGAGTAGCATACTCTAACTACCTGGTACCAACTGCCACGTAGTATTGATCAAGACGATCAATCTTGAATCTTGATCTTTAAAACTTCATGACAGTTGCATCTGTACTATCGTTACGTCGTAGTTTGTCTGTACGCAACCGAATATGGTCAAAAGAGTGTACGGTTTTAAAGTTCCAATTCCAATTCATGGGTTTTTCTTTGATCTTCAAACGTACATATCGTTTACATGATATGAAACCTGAAGGCTCGACCTTGTTATAATATGGTACCTTCCAATCTCTCGCTTCATTAATAATTCAAGCCTAATAATATGATTACCTTCATCAAAGCACGATCAGCTCTCATTTGAATATTGTTTGATCTCTTATATATAAACCATGAAGTAGCTGTGACTTTATAAGATTATGATAGCTGTAATTTAATACTATATTTAGCTTTTTAAATCATTGACTATCAATCTGAGACCACACGTACACGTATACTATACATATTCGACATATATATATGGCTGCTAGAATGTCATAATTGAATTTCGATCAAATATTCATGTGAAATTCGAAGTAAATTATACAATTATTCTAGTATCTGCTAACATATCAAGTAAGTACGATTGCGCAGTTAGAACCTATTACATCGTACAAACTAGATCTATCACAAATATTGTTCAGCATGATCCTGTACTTTTTCAGCACAGGCTGCACAGTACGTGATAACAGGTAGCACATAATTACAATTAACAATTATTCCCTAAAGCGTATACTATATTACATATTGAAAAGCAAAAGATCTCAGCCTTTAGCTGGATTCAGGAGTCGATAGTATCTCACTTGGAAATCACCCATAATTACCACAATATATTTTATGACTATAAGCTTGATATCTAGAATATCTAAAGTACGAATGCGATGAAGGAGAACTTGAATTATCGACACGTTATAACTTATAGTATTCATCAGATTATAACAATACGGTAGAATAAGCAATCTTCCATGAGTCTTGTACGTTGCACGTTACACTTACTATATATGTACCTTTAGTTGCTTGCCAATGGTACCAAAAAGCATATAGTAACGTACATCTTTCATGTTCAAAGCTCTGGTTCATACCTAATACTATATACATACTAGTACTTAACTTATATATTATAAAAGTATATAGCTGTGTGCAACGAAGTTCGAACTTCGAAGATTCACAGCTAGTGGAAATACTCGCCCCATCCACTCTATTTCTTGAAACAAAATTATCAACTCCTACAAGGTTAGAGCAGGACTTAGCAGTTGATGAGCAACTAGTATGACTCTAGCCGCTAGCTTACTGAGCTATAAATAGAGATTGACACACTTAGCTCGATTAATTATAACTTGAAGATCGAATTCCTCGAATATCCTCAAGGCTCATTGAACTTTTTGAGGTACCCCTGTATAATCCGAGTTTGCCTCAAGCTGTGAGTGGCGAGTCGCGACAAGAAGTGGAAGTTATGTTAAAGGAGAGTACGTACTACGTAGGCTCAAAGGTCAAATTAAGCATGACCAAAGCTTATGGATCTGATCTTAAATTCTAGAACACAACATGGCTGATGGTTCAAACGCTAATAAACGCAACATTTACCTTCAAAAGAAGTTACAAGTTGCAACTTACAAGCTACAATCTGAGATCGAAGCATAAAAATCCTCGTATAATAAAGATAAAACGAGTTTGAGTGGTATTTCAAAGAAGTTACCTAAAGGTTAAATTTCCACCAGCGATCAGCACAAGCTGTGAGTCTGTGACGCTGTGCAATACGTACGCGACTCCAAATGTAAAGTGTATCTGTATTATGTAACCTGTATAAACAATTTGCAAGTTTACCAAGATAACGTTTTTCAAATTGTAACGTATACGTACCTTCAATTGGGCCCAGTGATTTGTAAGGCTTCAAGTGCTTTTTTTATTTGACAACTGTATAATATATTAAGCTGTTTTAATCAATTAAGTACGGCCTCCCACTAAAATTCAGATCAAAACTTTATTTCAAAATTTGAGTG